CTGTGTTATTTCAGTGTCAACAGCGGCACACTCTCCCCGTTCCCAGTCCCAGGTAGTACGATTGGCATACGTTCGAGGCTGATCACTTCGACATGTCCTCAGCAATCCCCTAGAGCATCTATGGTCATGTCCTCACAGCTCAGTGGTGGCCGAATAGGACGGGATAACCAACAGGCAGTTGGTTTCATAAGGTACTATCAGGCGAGGACTTCATTCCTATGCTCCGACGCCTCTTGTTCTCAGGACGCACTGTGCTAGTCTTTTACGGATAGTATGTCAATGCTATGAGGATCCTAGCGGGTCCGCATCACCAACCTCCTCGCCACCTAAGAAAGAGGTGAAGATTGACAAGGTCACCTCAGAAGCTATGGACAAATTAGGGTACGACGATTCGGGGCTCTCCCTACCTCTAGGCTGGATGGCTGCTGCTATTGTCAGTATTCTCATCGCTGGTGGTCCATCATTTGGCTCGCCATGCAAGACCCTTCACGAGGCAGTCTTTGCCCTCAATGGTGCCTCGTCCTTGCGTAGTCGTATATCTAGTAGTCCTAGTATAGCATTCGAGAAACTGCAGGTATGGGCTCCAGTGGTTGAATTTTACTGTTGGTAGCGTTGCTGATCGTTTTAGGGGCTGATCGAATCGAATTTAGTATGGAACGAAGTAGTGTACACTCCAACACTGGGCACCAACAAGTCCGGGCCCATAAATACTGAGAGTCCCCCTTCTTGCGCCGTCGGGTGAGTCTACTGCTGCATTTCCACGGCATGTGTTAATGTTGTAGATATCGGTCGTTGACCCTCTCGGGCTTGACCAGAACCACTGTGCTTCGTGACACCACTCGAGGTAGTCCGCCGACGGACTTGGTGTACATCTCCAACTGCAGCGAGACCAGCATTTACCTCTCTGGTGAGGACACTGTGGTAGACTGTAGTGGGCAGTTCCTTCCGGAGTAGGTCCAGCTAGGTTCGCTGCAGTGGTGGGATGTGTCGACTGTGACATAGTGCTATGTTGCTGTACGTGTCAAGTGTCTATAGCTAACTGTGAGCGATGTAATGTTCATACCCTCACCAATGCTATAAGGTGACGGATTTACGGTATAAGGGTTGATTAAATCGTTTTGTTCATCAGGTTGGAGAGCGGAGTGGATGTCAACTTGTATACATTGACGAGGGTAAGTTGACGCTGTGCTCAGTGGGCCTGTCTTCATCTTTCCATGTTTCAGAATCCACCCGTCATAACAGGCGACTGTCGAGGCATCAAGTTGGCGCCCTTCAATGTGTTGTATAGTGGGAGTGCGGCCTTGCTTGGTTCAGTAGGCATGTTGGATATGCTAGGCACTGCTAGGGAAGCGCCGAATCGGCATGCTGTGAGTCGAGGCAATAGGAAGCTCATTGGTGATGCCCTCCTTGGTCAGGCTGGTGTGTGGGCCCATCCAGCATGGTGTCCTCTCATGCCAGAAGGAGGGGGAGGAGAGCGTGCCTCGTCGGCTAGCACTACATCGAATAGGACTTCGACGGCTTCCACTAGTTCGGATAAACTCACCCAAGGATACTATCTCGTGAGGCTTGGTGCAGTGTGGGAAAATATGCACATGGTCAGCTACATATGTCGGTGACAATATGGAAAATTTTAGGAAATTTCGAGAGACTGTTGTTGACTTCGGAACACTCTTACCCAAATTTGTGTATATATCTATTATTATTAGTGAGGAAACTCCCGAGCTCAACTGAGGCGAACGAGCATATATTCTAACACTGGACTAGTGTGAAACCTTCTTTTCAATGGTCTTGTTGTCATCAGATGGCACCAGAGAGCTTCAGCACGATTAGTTTCCCCGAACCTCGGAAAGCTTCGTATGAAGGAGATCAAATTGGAGAGGGCTGCGTAGGGAAATTAGCTTTGCCTGAGGTTTACTATGAGGCTCTGGTGAGGTCGGGGGGTACAGCTAAGGACGATGTGTAAATGGTGTGGTAGGAGGAACGGAGAAAGGCTCATGCGAAGGTCTGCGAGCAACTCGATGAAATCAGCGATAGTGGGCGACGACAGCAAGTGTCGGAGCTCATGGAAGGCTACTTCCGAGAATGGATCGCTAATAGCAATCGTACTCGGCAGTTGGTCGACTTGGTTAGAATATCCCAAGAGCAACAACACGAGGCAGGTCGAGACAGGACCACTGTTGTCCGGGAGCGTTAGAGGCATAGCATCCTTCCAGCAGTATTCTTGTCATCTTCGAGGCTCATCTTCATTTCCGTATTATTAGTAATCTGTCTCTATTTATGTGGTTTAGAGCATCGCGTTGGAGTCAAAGCCTCATCGAGGGCATGGGGAGATACCAGTAGTGTGTACTACTCACTACTGTAGACGGCCCTAGACGATATGCAGTTGTGGGGATAACTTAACTCTCCACCGCCAGTGTTCGCCGTGCAAACCCTTCCTGAGGCGGTGTTGCGTGGTCGTATATCTAGTAGTCCTAGTATAGCATTCGAGAAACTGCAGGTATGGGTTTCAGACAGGGGTTGAACACAGTCAGTGGTACCACAACTCGGTTAGCTCTCCATCTTTGGACTGACTGAACAGCACGGTCGTGATCACCAGGAGTGTTGGGTTAGGTTAGTCGATGGCGATGAAACGCTGCCACAGTCTATAGTCTACACCGTTAGTCCGTGAGTTCACCAGTAGTCTTTGGGTGAGCTTCCCTTAATCGGGAATTCCCTAAAGATGACTCATCCTTCATCGCCACACACATTCAACATAGGCAAAGGCTTGGCTCACTACTGAGCGATGTGACACATGCAGTTTGATCCTATCACGGGAAGATGCGAATCTCGGTGCTGATGCCCCATACGTATTGTATCAACCATAACGATGTTCTATTAGTTCGTCTACTGCTGCTCAGAGGTTATACGATTATTACACTACGCAACACCACGACGACATGGAGGAATCAGAGGGCCTTACGTATCCGGGCTATGAACAGCCCACCAGCATCGACCCGGGCCACATCGGCATCGGCGGGGTCGAATCTACAGGCACAAGCAGCACCGGTGTTGTCCATCATAGCGGCTCGACAAGGCATCTTGGCAAGGTCGAACGGGAGTGGACAGAGAGCAGCGGCATCCCTGTGCTCCAATAGATACTCTACAATATTCTCATCTTGCCTCCTTGCCATACTGCAAGTTGAATACACCATACATCCACCAGGCTTCAGGGCATCGAAAGCCGCTGTTATGAGGGCACGTTGCAGAGACTCCAACTCGCCGAGCTTGTCCAGCCAAGGCATCGGGTGGCTGCGTTCACTCTGTTGTTGCCAGAAACCAACCACGCCAGAACTGTCTCGGCTTGAGGCCTCTAAGTGCTTCAGCATGTGCTTGACACTCCCGTCATGGGTGCACTCTGCATCGCACAAGACCAAGTCCCAGCTTTCCGCCTCGAGTGTTGTCGAGGATGGCGGCGGGTCTTCAGGAGAGCCTCGGCGCTGCCGCTTGCGTCCTCGTGATTTTCTCTTCGCTACAGTTAGCCGTTCCATGGGCCTACTGCAGACATACCGACCATCACCGTGGTAGAGCTCAACATTGTGAGCACCGTACTTGGTGAGCAGACTACGGCATACCATGAGCCGGTCGCGACTCACATCAATACCTGCCACCCGGCTACCCGGACACAATTCCGACAGCATGAGCAACTTGGTCCCGGGGGCGCAGCAGAGGTCGAGCACGGCCGAACCTGGCTCGGGACCGGACTCTCCCAGAAGGGCATATACTGCACTGGCGCTAGAAACGTCGAGACCAAAGAGGTGACCTAGAAGTGATGCCATAAGGTCGACGCGAGGGCTTTTGCTAGGCTACCTCCTTTGTATAAGTTCAGTCTACTCATCTGTGTAGCCGTGGGTATCGAGTAGAACTTAGGGCTGGGTCCGAAACGGGCTGCGGTGAGGGGCTCTAGCCACTCTATGGGAGTGACCCTGAGGGGCTCCTCTTGAATACCTACTGAGAATCATGACCGTCCGAAGGAACTCGACAGGTGATGCCGTAATCGATAAACAACTCACTCTCAGCCGCAGGAAGATCTCGAGCTTGCAGTATTTCCTCTAACAACTCTTTCTCTATACTAGCCTCATCGAAGCGTTGTCGAACAGTCCTCACGATGGGCTGGCGGGAGGGGTCTGAGAGGCGAGAGTCGGCCTTGCTCCAAACGTAAAGCCCACTATGGTCATTCCTGTGGACTCTACGGTAGAGTTCTCAGCGCAGCTTACCATAAATCCATAACGGGATGTGGTTGTCATCGAGAAACTGTTGGATCTCAGGCGGGAATCGGTAGCCTACGATGCCACTCGCTGCTGGATGGGCTGAAGTCATTAGCCTTGTTCAACTACCTGTGTGGTGGTCCGCGTCACCACCAACACAACACCACCGTATCATCAGATAGGCTCAACCAAGACTATCGTCGACTCGAGCTCTGATAGCAACGACCCTCGAGGTTATTCTCGGAACCTCTATCGTAGGCACCTCAGCAATTGAGGTCAGTGGACCTTGCAGAATTGGGCTATTATCGGCATTCTCTCCTGCACCAAAGTCACAGACTGACAGTGTAAATGATCTAACCGTGAAATTATCACAGCTGATCTATGATGTAAATTGCCGTCGTAGAACAGTCGGTTTCCCAACAGATAAATGTGCACTTACCCCGTGATCGTACCAGCAGCACCCAAGCTGAGCCCGACCACTCTCCTCGAGTATCCCTATACGGCCTTCACCGGTATACCCAGCCTTAAGAGACGGTCTGCCCCTGTCGATCGACGATACCCAGATCGAGTGCATGACCCGTCGAAGTGGGAGGATCACAAGCCTCGGCAGACCCCTAGACCCCCCCGAACCAGAGCGCACGGCTGCTGCCTGCCTACATTTGCTAAAGACTGACTTCGTTGATATGTTATTCTTGGTCGGAGGATTTTCGATGAAGTATTTGAAGTCCTCAGTGTGACCATTCACATTGTGGTGGTGATCCAGGCCTCCTACAGCCATAACGCATCCAACTGGGAATCAACACAACAGTGCACGAGCTCGACAACATGCGTATGATAGCAAGATTTGATCATGGTGCGGTATATAAATACGTTTAATAAGCAAAATAATGTTGACAGCCGTAAGTGTACACTACACTGCCCTTGCCTTCAATTATATAAACTCTGATAAACTCCGCTATATGCATCCACGTCGTGGTACTGATGACGGCACTGTAATGACCACAGTGCCACAGGCACACGTCCGAGAAGGTGGAGAAGTGCCGCGGTGGGACTATGGGGTGGCTCGACGAGCCCGAACAATCATCATCTGAACCCATCTCAAGATGATGATGATCAGTAGCTCCAGCCGTGCCTACCATCCGTCAGTTTGCCACTGGTAGAAACCGTGACTTTAGTTTTCAGAGGCTGTCGAGTACTACTCTCAGCATCTCCTAAGAGGAGCATTCCCATTGAACCACAGGGAGTAGGTCTACCCTACTACCTTCGCCTGCTGCATCCAAAACCTTGCGCAGTCTAGTCCCCGAGAAGGCATCCCAAACGGCGTGCATGTGCATTCTATGGAAGGACATGGCAAGTCCAGTCGGATGACCATCGTTAGGGGTAAAGCCTGTAACCGTATCTGCGTCCCAGATAGAAAAAATACATCTCCAGGAAATGATGACCTGTCCGCATTTTAATATCACTCTCGGACATCGCGGTTGTGGTAAGGGGTAAGCTGAGCTCAGCCAATTTGTCCTCGCCTGGTATAGGCGGATGTCTGATAGCAATTCTTTCTACTCAATGACAACCTCACGTAGAGTACTACTCCTCCTTCCAGTCCTCTCCCCAGATGGCCATGCACAATAGATGCCGAATCCACACGAACAACAACGCCGCGTTGGTATACTCTCGTTTAGGAGAGAAAACGCTACCATGAATGATATCGGATATGATGGTCGCTTTAGACTACCTGGTTGGGGATCTCGGCACGGGAGAAGGGGAGATACTGCAGTCCTCTCTTCTCTGTTTGCTGCTGGTACCTAGGCGCCCATGCATCACTCTAGCGGCCTCGCGATAGCTTCCCTACGTTGGTGGTCGTCATGGATGTCACGTAGTAGTGTACTATGCTTCCGATGCAAGGATAGATGGATCTGATCGAGAGCTGTCCGTGAAGGGGGTGAAGAGGCCCTACGCCGTGACGGAGCTCTGGTGGGATAAGAGACACAACCTTGGCACCGTCGAAGGGAGAACAGATGCAGACGACTCCTCCAATCGGGACTAAGCGGCAACGATCAATACCACACCGAGCCCAACTCGTACCAGGCTCTGTATTGCGATCCTGGGCTAGCATGGCACAACGTCGAGATCGGCAGTAGTCCTCACATATCAAGCCACCGAGGCTATGGCCAATCAGGACCTACGAAATGAGGATCCCTACAGAGATCGACGAAGACCCCCCCCTACGATGTTATCAAGCTTAGCATCACCACCAAGGTCTCGAAGGTGCTTATGGAGGATGGTCATATAACCATCGACAGTTTCATCAGCTTTATGATCGTTCTCCAGCCAGCCTCCCGTATGCAAGTTGATAGCACTGGTGTGGATCCTGAGGAGGGTAGTAGAGGAGATTATTGTACGAATGATGGAGACCTCCTCTGAGCAGAATGGAGGAGACGAGGGAGGAGTATGCGACCTGCTATCCACTGGCTGTCGTTGAAGTCCAGGCCATGGACCTAGTAGTATTGTCATTGACGGTAATGTGAAGGAGTAGTACTTACGAAAACTATAAAGGTGGTGCCTTGGTTGCGATCAGACGATACACCAGTGACGGTGGATGGCCATGCACTCTGGTTGTTGCTGGTCCTGTAGTTGCCGTTTGAACGACTGAGAGAACAGGTCACCCTCGACTGAGGAGAGAGTTGCGCTTCCACCTTAGTAAAATGCCGACCAGGGAGACTGCCATACCTGGGCAGAGGGTGGAGAATTCAGACCAGATAGAAAAGGCTAGGCAGACCTGATTAGCATTGGAGGCACACTGGAGGGGGTGTGGTTGTTACCAAGATGTGGGGTTGCCTCTGAGGCATCGTGAATGGCGGCGGCTTCGCTCATTCGACCAACAGAAGGTTCTTGTAGGGAAAAGGAAAAGTATCGTGCCTGTGAGGAGGGTGAGGGGGGTAGGGGTAGTGATTATGGGTACATTGGAAGCAGAGATGACCTATTGGATGGAAAAGCCAGAGGAGGCCGAAGGGAGCGTGGGGAAGGACGAAGGCGAGAAGCCCGGGAATAACGGCTGTGGTAAACTGAGGAGGATAAGCGTGATGTGCCGGTACGGTAGATGCTCACCTGGGCAGGGATCAAGGCTAGTTGAGTTAGTGACCAGGAAGAAAGGCAGATGACCATAGCAAGGGCTCTGAGGAGGGCGAGAAGCGGTCATGGGAGGTCTCCTCTTCCTCCTCACCCGCAGTGGTAATAAATAATAGCCGTAGCAGTTGCACAAACAATGGTCGTGACTGCTGCTGCTCTAGTGAATGGTGATGTCCGTGATGGTATGCTCAGCCAAGCACCTACAGTAGAGGTAGGGTAGGGTAGGGGTGGTGATGATGCGTATACCGTAGGATACGAGTAGCCCGAAGAGAAGGGTAGGGAGTACTCGTAGGAGGCCAATACCGTTGAGGAGGAGGCAGAAGAGAAGGAAGATTGTTTCTATAATGCCCATAGTGTTAACACGGTAATGGCTGAGGCAAGTCGCATTGAAACGTTTATCGGCGACCCTGCGAGGCAAAGGAGACGGCGCGGTAACGCATCCGCCCTTTTCCCAGTATTTTCCACACATGCGTCTTCTCCATTGCATGAAGGGAGTATTATGGAGGACCTAAGCCCTCATGTAATCCTGTCCTGCTCTGTGGTTGGTCTAGCGTGTTCATATTCATTTCTACCAATACTCGAGGAGAAGTTCCATGTTTGAGATCATTGAGGAATAATAAGAAAGGGTAAGTTTGCAAGTGGGAATTATTTTCATCAACAACACGAGTTGAGGTGGTAAACGTCGTGGTGATGATGTTGATTTAATGACGACGCCTCGGACTTGCATCGGAACTCCTCGTCGGTAAATCTTGTGATAAGTGGGGACAGAGAAGAATTTAATATAGTGAACGCAGGAGGGAGGGAAGGGTCCTCGCCGTAATGATGGATGGACCTAAGCCTTATCAATTCACTCGGTAGTTTGCCTCCCGGCCCCGTCCATGCTTTGGTTGTGATGTTCTCTGGGGGAGTTGGAAGGTATATGGTCGTCTTCAGCAACAATCTGCCACGTCTGGAAAGTCGGAGCAGATGGTCATGCCAGCTGGTCTGAATAGTGAAGAGGGAGACTCTGGCAGAGGTGAAGTATAGGGATGACGATACGTGTCCTGTAAAAAAATCGACTTGCGTTGTTGTGGTATAATGCAGTGATCAGCATTACCTCCCGAGCTAATGCCAACCCGAGGGACCTCACGAAGAGATCGTCACTACAGGAGTCCATCTCCTAGAGGGAGGTCGAGAGGCACTAGAGGCAGCAATAGAGACTCCTATTATCAAGAGGATCGTCATAGGGATGACCGAGGCAGGAGAGGTAGTTGTAGAGGGGAGGAAGACGTCCAACAGTTCATCGTTGGGTAGGTGGTGAAAGCCATAGAGGCCGGATGGCTAGTAGGTCACGGTCTCGATCACAGGACAAGGCCTCTCCTCCTCCTCCGGCTCCTCAAGAGGAGTTGCCTCCTGTTGATGATGGGTAGGATAGGGAGAGGACGGTGGTGGAGATATCGAGCCGTTCAGGTCTGACGGAGAGCTGCCATTCCCGTACAATCAGATGGGAAATAGTGGCGTTAGTGATGATGAGGATCCTCTGGGGTATGGGGACGATTCCCCAACCAGTGGCCCTGAGGGGACTAGTCAAGAGAAGGAAGGTAGAAGAAGAGGAGGAGGGAGGCTACTACTGCTGACGGAGGCACTATGCACGTCTAGGTTCGACTAAGGCGGAAGACAACACTCCGTGGTGGCAACGGTTCCATCCGGCTAAGCCTCCACCGCCGAAACAGGATGGTTTCAATGATGATGACATGGCAGCTCAATTTGGGTAGGGAGGAGTGTTGAGGAGAGAAGGTGGGATGCAGGGTGTAGGTACGGAGACGATGACGATGATCTTACTGCGGCATTTGGGGGAGGGGCACCTTCCACAGGACCGACCACAGCTACAGCAGCTTGGGGGAGTGCGCAGTACGAAGAGGGCGGAGACGGGGCTTGACCATTTCGCTGCGTCTGGTAGATACGCTGGACAGCAGGCCTGGGGTCAGCAGCTCCCAACAGGGCAGCCGGGCAATCCAACGTAAGAGGGTCGAGAAGTGTAGGATTGGTATGGTCGTATGTGGCAGGTTCCAACCTCGGCAAATGAATGCTCCCTTGCCACCGCAGTTCCCTCCACCCCCACCAGTGGCTGGTAGTAGCAGTAGTATTGTGTCTATCGATCCACGTGGACATCATTCAGGTGCAGGAGGGTATGGCCAGCAGCCTCCACCACCTCCTCCGAGAGCACCACCACCCAGCACACTGGTAGGGGTAATTTCGTGGCGCGTGACGGTTGGTTAAGTGGTGTTGGTCAGATACTTAGTAATATTCCTGCCGATGTATCCTTACCGGCTTTATTCCAGCATTGCCAGAAATACGGGTGAGGCGGGGAGGAAGCATAGGTGGTGGTGATATGTTGATTTTAGGGAAGTGAGTGGAGTTCACTGCAAGCTGGAGGAGGGCAATGCTACGGTGGAATTCACGTAATACTACAGTTGTTAGTTGAAGTGGAGTTGGGAATTGTCATTGGTGTGGTATGTCAGTAATCGGCAATCGGCAATAGCGATGATGGCCGAGCCCGTTTTGGGTCATCCTGAGATACAGGTGGGGGGGGAGATGGGAGAAGTGTAGTTGCTGGGATTCGAACCTGGGTTAGGTAAAGTGGCAAGTGACGAACCTACCGGCTGGATCACCGTCGGCGATGCCTCAGATGGGAGGAGCTGCAAGTAGGCATATATGTATCTTAGATGGATTCGAGAGTGGTGACTGACAGTTGCTTCGTCTCCGGGAGGTGGAAGGCCAGGTGGACGAGGAGGAGGGTATCGTGAGGGTGGAGGAAAGGGTAGTAGTAGAGGACGACGCTGGTAGGGTGGGTTGAGTTTATATTGGTGCAGGTTTCCGACAACAACAGCAGCAACCTCGACACGCAGGTAATTTAGTATTGGAAAATGCTGAGCATCAGCATCAACGAGCGGTAGGTGGTGGCGGTGTTGGGATGATTAGAGTTTGAGATGGTAATGGGTAGGCGAGGGAGGCGAAGCAAGCACAGGAGATGCAACGTGTGGCGGTGTTATCGAGGATGTCGGAGACTGTCAAGCAGCTACTATCGAAGTTAACGGATGAAAAGTAGTACAGGGTGGCAGCTTGTTGTTGTCGTTGTTGTTGTTATTATTGTTATTGTTGTTATTGTTGTTGTTGTTGTTGTTGTTGTTGTTGTTGTTGTTGTTGTTGTTGTTGTTGTCGTTGTTGTCGTTGTTGTTGCTGTTGTCGTTGTTGCTGTTGCTATTGTTGTTGTTGTTGTTGTTGTTGGGTAGTTTGATTCACCGAGTTAGATTTGGTCCTAAAATAAGCGTACCGAGATGGCGGTCTTGAGGGAGTCATTTGTGTTAGGACATCAGAGACTCAGAAGGAAATGTATAAGAAGATGCTAGGTGAGTAGAGGTCGTGGGTTCGAATCCCAGGGAGGCTATTTTTTGGCCGATTAATTGGCAGTCATGTGTTGCTTCAGAGAAGGTGAAGGAACAGATGCATGCACTATCGGAAGATATGCAGAAGGAGAAAGCGGAGAAGGCTAAGGTATCAGGGGGAGGCTCCGGGATCGAATCTTGGTAGAGACATTTCTCGACCTTCCGTAGGCTCGAGATGCAGCGATTCGGGCACGGTATGCGGGTATGCAAGCACTTCAGAAGAATCAGTCCAAGGAGGTGGTGTTGACTTGCTAATCTTGCATTTCCTCAACGCATTTTAGTCCCAAGACCGAATGACGTTGGATAATCGGCCGAGAGCAGTGCTGTTGGAGGAGATGGACTCGGATTTCGATTCGGTTCCAGTGGTCATGGAATATTTCAGGGTAAGTTGGGGGAGAAATGGTATGAGTTTTCACGTGGTACGTAGGTCCTGGATGTAAAGGGTGTTCGGGACTTCATATGGAGGGAGGATAGCTGTATCGTGCGCTTCGAGAGCCGATGGGCTGCTGAAGAGTTCGTTAAGCAATCGACTAAATTCCCTTTTAAATGGTAGTAATAGTAGCAGAATTTTGTGGCGCGCGACAAATTTTGAGGCATGGAAGATTGTAGGAGTGTCGCGTTATAAAGCTCTCATGAGCGCCCCTGTAGGGCTGAACGGCCGAAAGGGCTGCTATGGTAGGACGTACTTGATGTGATCGACTGTTTTCAGTTCCTATCTAGCGAACGAGACAGCGGATGCAGCGGCTAAGGTGACGGAGCCAATGCAGCCTCTTCCTCCTGGTGCTGGTGCAGTGATTGGCGCCGAGGTAGGGATGTGAGGCGGGTTTGGGTGGCGATGGTTAAGTTAGGTCCCTGAGGATGATGAACAGCCTGTTGGACAAGTTGCTGATGGGGAAGGGAAGCAACCGGTGGTGGTGGTGGAGGAGGAGGAAGTGGAGGTGATGGAGGTTGGAGAAGAAGAGGATAGACCAGTAATAGTACCGATGGTGTGGGGGTAAGGCGACTAGTGCTATTGGTAGGAGCATCCTGGAGTGTATGCGGAGTAGTGCTGAAGACGTAGTTCATCATCACCATAATCGTCATCAGAATCGTATCTGATATCCTTTCTAGTCCCCACAGCTTGTCGTGTTGGAGGGTTGTTACAATGAAGGGGAGCTGCGGTAGGTTGTCGTGTTCGGTGGGGTTGAGGGTAGAGCTGATAGATGAGTTTGTTATGAAGCAGGGCTGCGATGCTGGCCTGTAGCTATCGAGGTCGCTAGTGTGCTCGGCCATAGCATCCATATTGTTCCGTATAATCAGATGCAGTAGTAGCTTTATACATATGGGGGAGCGGCTCGAAGACTTCTCGCGGGAGGTGGAGTCCATTGTGGGGTTGTGCGCTGAGGGGAAGTATTCGGAAGGGTGGAAGAGGCTGCTAGCTTTGGAAGAAATGCCCCAGGCGCGGTTCGAACCTGTGCGGGTTAGGTTACGGCAGGTCCGGGAGCGGCTCCATGAGGAGAGCGTGAACGAGTGGCACGTTCGAATGCTGAATGATGGTGCTAGAAATGTGGCCTACAAGAAGGCGATAGCAGAGGCGATGCGGGATAAGGAAGGTCAAATCGATCGAGTGATCGATGTGGGTTGCGGTACTGGAATTCTCAGCTACTACCTGGCGGAGTGTGCTCCAAAGGGAACTGAGATCACTGCATGCGACTGCAGTTGGGCGCTTTGTGAGGTGGCGAGGCGAGCGTGCGGTCCTCGAGTGAAGGTTATACAGGCAGACTCGGCTGACTTGGTGTTGGAGGCACCAGCGGATATGGTCGTGGCTGAGCTGATGGACTGTGCATTGTTGGGGGAAGGGTTCCTGGATGTCGTGAGGGATCTGAGGAGGCGGGGGCAGGTGAAGGAGGAAGCGCTGGTGATACCGGAGCGTGGTACAGTGTATGGCTGTGTGGTCGAGTCTGATGTTATACGAGAAAGGAACCTCTATGTGGGGGAGAATGTTCGTCTGGAGGATGGGTATGGGAGCATACATGGTCGGGGAGGATTCCAGTACAGGGCGTTGACGAATACCTTCAGAGTATGCTCAGCTGATTTCGGCAGTGGGCAGGTTGGGGGCCTTGGGGTTAGGGAGGTGGAGGTTAGGGAAGGAGGGGAGTGTGCATGCGTGCTGGTGTGGTGGGAAGCGACCTTGTATGGCGATATCAGAATTAATAGTGTCAAGGACTGCGACTGGGACTATGCGGTGTTCCCATGCCCTCGTAGGAAGGTGGAGGAGGGGGAGACTATCAGAGTAAGGGTGGCGTATGAGGAGTCTAAGCTGACTGTGGAGTTTGATGGCTCGTATGCTGTGGATGCTACTGAGGCGTCTGAGTTCGATATTATGACTGCTAGTAGTATTCGGAAAAGGGGATGCTCTGGGTATCGATCCGGAGACCTCTCGAGAGGAGGCCTGGTGCTTGATCTCACTGGAGTAGGTCACTCGATTGCCCCTTATCTGCTTGCTGAGGGATTCTCCGGATCATTACTATCATGGATGCCGAGAGAAGGCGATGGTCTGTGGTCGCTATTGAGAGATCAGCTCGTACACTTCCGCATATCGCCGGAGGACTTCGCCAAGCATGTGTGTGTAGTTGAGGCCAACTCCCAACGCGAGTTCGTTGAGGAGATTCAATTCCGTGGACTCCTGTCGGGCCGCCCTCTAGAGAGGGTCATCTTCCAACCGGTCCTACCTTGGGGGGAAGTCGACCCTGAGTCGTGGGAGATCGTAACGTCGTTGAGAGATGAAGTGGCTATCACTCCATCGCAGGTCATCTCTTGCAAGGGGTGTTGGACGGGAAGTGCTGCAGTTAGGACGGCGACAGTGGTGGAGGAGAGGAGTGTGCCTGAGACCATCAGGGAAGAGGTCAATCGAGGCGAACTACTCAGAGTAGATATGTTGAAGGACTTCCCGCTGGAAGATCTCCAGATGATAGGGGAGGCCGTGCCTCTATTCGGTGTCGATGTTGTTAGTGGTGAAGTATCTATGAGTTGTTGTTCAACGCGGGAGGGAGGTGGTTTTACATTCGGTAGCATCCCGGTTCGAATCCCAGAGGGAGCAACCGGTCTGGTCTTACAATACACCCCATCCCCTTTACCCGTTACTGGCCGCTGTGTGATCCCATGTAGAGGGGAGGGCGGAGGATCAGCGGAAATCAGAGTAGCATGGGCCTCTCAACCGACTCCCACCGGTATGCTGTGGGTTGAAATCGTCGACAGCAATCCTGAGCATGTATGATTCTCGGAGTTTGGTACGCTTGGCAGAGGAGGTCCGAGTGGGGTCGTTGTGTATCGACTGGGGATGATTTCGCGAGTTCAATCCTCCAGTTGTGTTGTGATGATGATCATCCTCTTGGCGTTCCTGATCGTTGGCTCGTCGGTCTATTGAGAGCTCCTTCTAGTGTTTTGTATTATTCCCTCCTCCTCCTCCTCCTATGCGGCGGTCATTTTATTTCTTGACCGTTGCTATCTCCTGCCGTTTTGCATTGGTCTCGGGTATGGCTAAGCCGAGGACAGTAGCAGCCTCGCCAGGCCCCCTGAGCAGGAGAGGGTCATGAAGGAGGACTAGTCGATGTCAGGTTGGTATGTTGGAGGGGTCAGGGGCTCCTTGGGCTGGCTGGTAATCAAATGGCATACAAACGAGAGTAATGACATACGATGAGCGGCCAATACTAGTATCGTTTCTTTACTCCGGCAGTTGTTGTCGTTCATAACCTCAATCGTCTGGGTGGTCGTCTGGGAAACTTGTCACGTGGTGTATTTCTACTTGAATCTGCTGAATATATTTTGTCCGTATCGGCCTTGAAAACGCTTCGGTGGCCTTCGAGCCTGCTGTAGGACCACGGTTGGTAGCCTTAGTAGAAGCGTTGTTGGAGGAGGGGAGGGTATCCCTCCGTCGCCTCAAGACGCCCATGAAGGAGTAGTGGGTACAGCTTGCTTTTATCGTTATAACGGATGCATTTATCCCTTCGACCCGGCGGGGTATCTCTGCTGCACCTTCACATCATCCCTAGCCGCCGAGGCGTCCCTCCTCTGGATGTCATACAGACTCGCAGTTTTGCGGGGGTGCAGGGGACCATGGGCTCCTATGCTAAAGCGTTCCGGTGGGGCTCACAGAGGAAAAAGGGACGCTGGTGAGTTTATGGCACCTTCCACTTTGGCCACCCATCGAGAGGCACACACACGTGGTTAGGTATTATCGCTATCATAAACCACTTGGTCACGGCAATTGGCAGAAATACATTGAACGATACGAGACCCCGAGGGAGCTCGAGTCGAGGCAGAGGCTGGTCTTTTCTACCAGGGCAGATTATAGGACGTAGTGTCAGCTGAGTGGGAGAGCTCCTTCACTAATTATAGAAGTTTGCACACGACTTGGGGTAGGAGTGTATAAGGAATTTCCAGAATCTCCTCGAATTTTCGAATTGTCACCAACACATGTAGTTGGCCATTTGCATATCCCCCTTCCATCGGAGTTGGGGTAGATACAAGCAGGCAATCAGTTGGCAGTGGAAGCTCCCAAAGGCTATTGCAGAGGCGACTACAGTGGATGAGGTGTGGTAGTGCAGTGAGAGGGGTCTCCATCCTGGGGGCAGGTCCTAGATGCATGGATGCTGTATCGACATCGACAGTTTAAGCAACATCATCATTTCTTCAAGGTCTTGCAGAGGCTCGTGGAGGTGACTATTTCAATTACTCTGTCTACTGCTACTTTTCGGCGTGGTTTAGGTACAGAGTAAAAGTGGTCACGTCAACCCGAGCGACTGGAGACTAGCGTTTATCACGAAGAAAGTGATTTTTTCACTCACCGTTTTAGCTGAGTATCTCCACGTTCAGTTGCGAGGACGAACGCAGCAGTTAGTGAACACCCCACGCTTAGCGAGGCTGTACTCCCGGCTGGGCTCTGGTGACGGCATGTGGTTTATGGTGGAGAAGTGCACTCGATACCTCTCGAGAGAATACATGCTAGCCAGGTTGGAGGCATCATCTACCTTCGTCCCTATTCCTAACATCAGGTATAAGCCTTATCAGCTGGTCTGGATAGCAGACGCCTGGGGAGCCTGTCGGTTGCGGGATACCTTCTTATTCGGGAGGCTGGCACGGTATAGTGGTATTCGGTGGCGGCCCACATGTCAGGCCCCTGGCAGGTACTTGTCTCGAGTGGTACCTCAACTGACCTCTGACCAGCTTCTGACGGTAATGGAAGCCTATGGGAGGTGCGAGGTCACCCACGCTGCGTTGATGGGGAGGATCCTCAACGAGGTCCTCAAGCGGAAGCTCTCAGTACTAAGCCGTCTTTGCTCGTCACCATCACCTTCTCTAGGTACAGCAGTACGCTAGGATGGCCGCTGCTTTGGGTCTCTTACGAGTTCAGGATTATACAGCCCTGGAAATGGCCGCTCATGCTGCCGTTAATGCAATAAACGCTGGAGTCGGGTGGGACGGTCGGCCCAGCGGTCTCTCCCTCGTCAGTTTACCCGACCTAGGTACACTACGACAGATTTGGTCACCATAGCAGAGGCTCACTCCAAGCTGAAAGTGAACGACACGAAGCTGTTTCAAAACGTAATAGCCGCTATCTTGGTCTAGGCTACCCCGCTCCTGTTGCAGCTGCTGGTCCACGCTAGGGACCATGGCTATGACTGGTCCCCCTTCAACCTAGCTAGACTAGGCCAGTGTACGGCCCCTGTGGTGGCTAGTGACAAGAAGGCGTAGGATAGGGAAGGGTGACGTATGGTAGGGTTCATCAGGTTCGTCGCTATGCTCGATGACCTCGTAACGTATGTACCAGTAATGCAGTCATTGGAAGAAATAACAGCAGCGGCTGATTTCGCATATCTTCATCGACAGTAAGGAAGGCCCTTGGTTTTCATCCCTACATTACGGGCATTTAGAGATGGCTGTAGGTACCATCCCCAGTCTACTGATGGCAACATATTGTGCGGAAGGCTCGTGGAAAAGCTGTCAGCAAGGATAGTCGATTTGAAAAATCCATCGACAAAGTCGTTCGTGTTGCCGCTTTTCCTTTGTCATCGTGGCTTCTCACAGGTTCAACATATCTCAACTCGTTCGCTGCTTGATGCGGTTTGGCGAGTTCGATCAGAAGGTGTGGTTTGCCATATTAAAGCTGTCGTATAAGGCCTCTGAGTGGAGTGAGGCGAAGGAGCTTGTAAGTCTGTATGATTACCATGCATTATACTACAGAGCTACAGAGAGCGTCAAGGCTCTTATCAACCCTTCTGGTATCGTGCTTCGGCTGTGTGTTGCCCAGCGAAATATAACTTGTGCATGCTGTCTTTAATGGGTGCCCGCGGGCCTTCGAGCTATCCTGATTACCTCAGCTCTCCTTTTCCTACTGCCTCTCTCGATTGAAGCCGCAACTGGCAAAGGAGTTACCGATGAGGACGGTAGCGATGGCCCAGGCTGAATGGTGCCTCAAGCGGAAGGAGGAGTTTGCCCCGTGAGCATCTTCGGTAGCTGCTGTCTGGATATGCATTTACCGCTGTTCAGATACGAGTGGGATCGGATAAAGTCATGGTTGAGGTCTAAGAATGGCTATCATTGTGGACGGAGGTATGCGGTTGAGATGTCACAGTATAAAAAACTGACTAGAGGTCCCAAGCTGAGGCTCACCGCTGCATGATGTGTTCTTGTGATGATGACCCATGACAGTGTGACTGACCGTTTCGGAATTTCACGCGTTTGTTGAGTTCCTGTCACGAAATGTACTGCTTGACTGTTCAAGTCGATGTACTATTGGGAGGCTCTCTTCTGATCTTTTCATCTTTGTACTTCTCGAACGAGAGCTATTCAAGGAACTCAAAAAGCGAACGAGGTTTCACCACTATCCGACAATATTGTCAAACATAATATCGTTGTGACTGCTAACTGTAAGTAAACGACGGTAAATAATCGTCGTCTGGAATGACGCACTCTGCTATGCTCCATGGAGCTTCTGAGCTGGAGATGACAGATGGGTTGAGGCTTATGGTGAGGTGAGTTGCTAAATTACTTTATGGAATTTCCGAATAGCAGACGTTATGTGGGTTACTCTTATTACAAGAGCATTATAGGTGCCACTCATGTAATGTTGTGTGGAAGAGCAGATAGACCGCAGCGACATTGTAGGCTACATATCGCTACATATCGGATGACACCGACTGTGCCACAATTTGTAGCACGATCGATATCATCCCATACAGTGTAGGTATGCAGTGAATAATACCCCGCTTTCATCACCACTGTTGCGTCGACAGTGCGGAACGGAAATATATACGTGACATTCAGAATCGTTATGCAGCTACTCCGCAGCAATCTTATACGAATACTCTAGAAAAGCATCGGGCGTGTGGTGTAGTGGTATCACGTCTGCTTTGCATGCAGAAGGCCCCGAGTTCAAACCTCGGCACGTCCATTGCAATTGGTATTGCTCTGATTCTACGTCCTCGAACTCCCTCATCTTCAACTCCACAGTCCGAGCCCGGCAACAACTCTCCTATGTCGCAGAAAAGAGCGATAAAAACTTCTGATCGCCTTATCGGGCAATCACAGACATACATATATGTTCGGACGTTATATGGATTCGACTGACTGGTTGTTACCACCAATCATCACATAACAGATGATATAAACTCAGGCAATAAGCCAGTAATAGCAGAGACCTCGTAGCCAACCTAAAGTCACTCGACAAGTGTCTATAGACAGCCTCATTGAAGAGTATTGACAGCACAAGTCTCCTCAGAGATCGATAACGTGGTTGAAAGGCGTCATCACCAACGACGGGCGAGAGGGCTAACGTATACAGTGTATCAACCGAATGATGATGATGATGGAGAAACGACGACAGTTCGAAGATAGAAGACTTTTACGTTGGTAATATTTCGGTTAGGATGACCACAGCTCATCTCGCAAGAAGCTCTGATGGAAAGCGGAGCGACGCAACAACTCGTTTGAATGATCTCAACGGTAGAATCGTTTTCGATCGAAGGCAGGCGGAAGCTGTTGATCAATATCGGCCTGGTCAATCACCGAGCACAGAACCTGTACAAGGACAACATAGTGCACACTAGTGAACAATACCACCTTGCTTACCAAAGATCTGTCCACTCCTGCAACAGCGCTCGCCCTACCATCCGCTGATGCTGTCGAGTTGGCCCTCCGCCGATACTTCTTCGGGGAGGTGCCTGCCTCGGTAACTCCACTCGGAAGGGTGTCAGTGAGACCATGCAACCAATCTCGCTCGTCCAACTGGGCACATCCTGAAAATATCATACCGTAAATCCAACAAATCGATGGTGGCCGCCTCATCGCCCACCTAGAATATGTGAACCCATCCACCGTTTCGACTCGGTGTCATCAGAAAAGCGACTCTTCACCACAGTGAAGGCAGCTGAAACAGGGGACTCACGGCACTTGATATCGCCAGCTAATATTAGGCTGTCAGCGAATCTGGAAAGGAATGGGATCAGCAACATTGCAAGGTACAATCCCTACGCCTTACAGCAGAACTTTGACACTGGTTGGTGAGCCCTGTTTGGTTTTGGCTTCGACTGAAGTCACTTGTACAGTATGGAAGATCTGTCCGGGGATCTCAACGAGGGATTCCGCCACGGCTCCTTTAGTGTGCTGGCGGTGACCTTGGTTGATATTCGACCGAATATCGACGTGCCAGAGGAGGTCGAATGTCTTAGGGCCGATCTTGAAGCAGTATAGCATCGAACTGCTGCTTGTGACGAAGCTGGAAAAGACCCGGGTTCGATTCCCGCAAGCGACATTTTCAACTACCATAGACTTCCATCCGTGCTGAAGGTGATCGAAGTGGCAAAGATCTTCCCAGTGCTCCGGTTTTCGATGGCCCCGATACGACGCTTAGCCTTTTTACTGCGACGATGAGAGGGCAAACAACAGGTTCGGCAGAATGTTGGCTCGGAGCTTCGACTCGATATGCCCATGCTGAGATAAAAATGCCTCCTGCAGGGATCGAACCCAGGACCTCCCTCAATACCAGTGAACATCACCGTAACTATCCGCCACCACCAAACACTTACTGCCGTTCTTCATGAGAGGAGACAGAGCCATACGAGTAACCACGCCTCGGAAAGGAGAACCTAATCCCATACTCAACTGTCTACTCTAACACCATAAGACAGTACTTACCCCATGGGATATGCTCGACGGGGGAAGCCGCGGTATCCACAAGCTGAATACGCCCAGTGTCACTATCCGCAGCGTAGCTGAGCGTACCATCAGCATCAAAAAATTGACTGATAAAACGGCGCTATTACCAAATCGTGGACCCCTCAGACACTTGGTCAAGGCACAAGGCGGTGACACTAGTGAGGTCCGCAACGACCGCCAACTTCGAGAGCTCCAGCTCGTCCAGAGCGAAGGAGAAAATACGTACTCCACCATCAGCTGTGCAGCAAGCGATCACTCTGAAGGGGAGCCCTTACAACGTACGAGGACCGTTCGGCTTACTCCCCATCATTGGTCATGTCCGATGCCACTATATGGGCAGCTGAGCTGAGGGCTACCTCTTGCAAACAGATGGGCTTGTTGATTCGGGTAGGAGTATCCAGCCCAACACCGTTAGTAAGCATGTCCAGGGACTCGCTCGATCCAGCTATGGAAGCGGAAGAATTCCCATCAGGTATGTACCTGCATGGCCATACCACTCCTCCGTCACTTCCTGAGCTGAACTACCATATCTTCATTGAGTTCCGCCATACAGTGAGCACCAATCTGCGCGAGCTGCTGCAACGAACAACTCCGCCACCAGCCGGTGAGGATGCTAGGCCGTGGAAACTGATAGGAAAACTGCAAACTACCATCACTGCTGTCGGGCCGTCCTCCCTTTGAAAAGGACCCTTTCCCTTACTGAGGCAGCTTCACAGGAGTAAACTGCGCCTTAGTGGAAGTGATCACGAGTTGACCATCGTTACCACCGCAGACCAGAATCTGCACGCATGCACAAGAGTCACAAAGATAGGAGTGAGCACCTTACCTCCCGTTGCGGGTGGAGGGAAATCGCGTTGGCGTCCCGACGGTTGACGAAGTATCTGACAGATTTCAACTGGGCGTCGGGAACTGAAATCAATCAATCCTACGAAGTCTTCACACTGAGCTCCCCATTGGTGGTCTCAGCGAACTTGGATATTTTGGCATCGACGCCAGTGGTAAAGATAGCCAAGTCGTGGTTCGCCGAGCCTATCACAATGCATACACAACTATCGCCCCGGAGATCCCCGGATCGATTCCCACACATGTCATTTTACACTCACGCTTACTTCTTCTCACAGTCATACAGAGGATATCCGCCTGATGTTCCCGTATCTAAACATCAGGGAGGCTGGTTGGGGTCAATAACTCACCGAATCGGAGTAAATTCCCCACTTTTCGCAAGGGTAAACCGGCCCATTTGTAGTACCCTTTGCAGTTGAACGTGTTTGTCCACATCCCAAACCGTGAGGCAGCCCGATGAGTCACCCGATACTATCCTATCATTCGATAAGGCCTTCAGGGTCCACACCAATATACCACCACCAACATTAGTGTGTGGCAAGATACGCATGCTGTCCGATACGCAGACGGTGTTGCCGAGAGAAAGAGAACCTGAAAAATACCCCTAGTGGGACTCGAACCCGTGATCGTATGCCACGAACATGTCACTATACTCCATGCCAGAGTCGCACGAATAAAATGGAGATTTCCCAATGTATTGAGCCACAAGCGTTCGTGTGCTTCCCATACCACTCTCCGAGCACATTACCATCATCCCCTCCCTTCAGTTCGAGTCGCCATTCACTGATGATTCCTCTATCATTGCCGGCGTATACTGTCCGATAACTGGTATCACCATCCTTGGCTATGCCAAAGCATACCGACAGAGCTCGGGTACTGCCACCACCACCACCACCACCCTTCTTCTTAGCTGCCTGATACTCCCCCTTGAGTTCTCCCAGACGGGTCAGAGTAGTCGAACCGGACGGACCCAAGGAGTATCTGTCACCACTACCTAACATCACCATCTACTACACTCTAATACATCGGTATGGCGCCGCTTTCAGTAGACACGGCCAGGAGCTTCTTCTCTTCATCTACTGCCATGTCCCATATAGCTCCTCCATTGGATGGATATGATCCCCTAAAGCGACCGACTACCTCCCATATCTCATCTCTCACCCTTATTACATTTCTTTGCCGGTATCAGTAGACCACTCGTTCACCTGTCCATGCACTCCAGTAGAGAATAGGCGCCCTTCCACGAAGCACAGTCGTCTCACTGACCTTTCTCCTTCACACCCGGGTATGACGCACTTAACCGCCCAAGTACCTGTCAATATATAAGAGCATCCACTATAAGGGTCTCCTTACTGGCACATAGTAGCTGTATGGAGCCATCGGATAACCCGACTGCCAGTAGATCTTCCTTGTCACTGAACGCCAGAGAGTGTATGGCGCTCACTGACGGCTGTAAGAGTCGGGATACGTATACCTCCATCGCCACAGAACCAATGTGGTGTTACTACTACTGATAACAACAGTCAACTGAGCGACAGACCACATGAAGATAATACGGAGGAGGAGCAGCAGCATCAAAACCGGTACACCTCCGTCGAGAAATCTATCGATCATGATGGCGCGCGCGCCTATGGCACATAATATTGCAAATCCATCCGTGTTCGAATTCGTGTCGCACAGTGCGACTCGCACATCAATCAACAGTAGCATCATCAATTAGTGCGACTCGCACTAATTGATGATGCTACTGTCACGGGACTTAATCCTTCCTCATGGTCAGGCGTGCGCTAATTGATTCGTTGAAGCATGAAACTGTTAGATTCTCATCCCATGTGAACTCAACCGTTGGACCTGAGATGAGGTGTATATCTCCGTAATCTGACGAAACATCAATACGAATCGAGCCGTTCTGAACTCCCGTCAAGGGACGAAGGACTCAGGAGACGAGGTCAATGGCCGCAGCCTTAGACCAGAAGAACGTGATTGTTGTATCGTGTATTGCTCGTTATTAAGGACCGTTTTAATTGACTCATCGATATGTGTATCTTTCAGCATTATTCGCAGTCTTACTTTCCTCTTGGTCTTGGTCTTAACATACCTACAGTTAATTTCCCTGTGTATGGTTACGTCGATTACCGGTTTCCCGTAACTCTACCCATTTTCTTTCTCATCTAACGAGCTCTCCTGACGAACCACCGTTGCGATTGGTCTTCCACTCTCCGGGTAAACATCAATCTGAAATAGCTGGATATAGCGGGGCGGTGCCGAGCCCACCTAGAGTCGGACTAAGATATGGCACGTGTTCGAGTGTTCAGGGATTCGAATTCTGATATTCAGAGTCGATTCCTGAATCAAACCCGGCTGTAGATTGCGGGTTTACACTAGTTCTGCCGTATTCTACCATCGAGTTGTTCCGATAAGCAGCTGCTCGTGATGTTTCATGGGCGGTAGTGCCTGAATGTCTATGGGCTGTCTCATGAGCACCCAAAGTATTCTTCTGTCAGCACCTACGCTTGCTCACGCTCAAGTTGTTTTCGCTTTGTTGTCTCCTATGGCGCATTGCCAATGGTTGCAACTTCTAAACACTAATTGGGACCCCACCAACCGGTGATCCTCCGTACCGCTCCTCCTGTGATTAGCTTATCCGGTCACCGACCCCGACACAGGAAGCAGGCGCAAGAAGCTTAGCCGTCGTCGTTATAGGAGCCTGTCGTATCAGTATATAGTGAACTCACTGAAGAGATCCTTACCGCTTTACACTCTCTGGTTTGAAGAAAAGGAAACGACCGTCACCATAATCACACATGCGGCTGTTATTTTCGGTCATCATGATGATACTGTATTAATAGAGCCTTCGAAGCATTGCATTTGTCATTCTGTCGATCTTGAAAACCTCGCCTGCCGAATCCTCTGTATTTTCTGATCACCTTGTCGGGTTGTGCAGGGGTTGAGTTATCGAGATGTGATTTTTGGCTTAGTCTTATCATCCAAGTACTATAATGCGAAGCGAAGTTGAGCATACTACCAATAGTAGTAGTAGTAGCAGAACGGTAAATAGGAGCCTTCCGTCGAACGCAGCAGCTGCCCCTAAGGATAGGCCTGGTTACTCCGTCAAGACTGTCATTACGTGTGTTGATAACCGCCGCACTATATCTCGACAAGAGGTAGTAGTCGGTTGTGGTCACATTTGGCTTGCGAATCGTCCCTGTTAGGTATCAGAGGCCTGGAGAGCTCAGATGTTCGCTGTTCTTGACGGGCTGGAGCCTCGAGATCCGCTCCTGGTGCCTCTATGGACGGCTATATTTAACGCGATGACGGAGAACAGTCATGCTAGAACACAGGAAACACCAGAGCAGCAAGAACATTCTCATGAAGTAACTGCTGATATCGACTCGTCATGCTCTTCTCTATCGTTAACGTCCAAGGAGACGATTGAAGGCACACCAATACGAGAAGCCACAGCCTGGGTAAGATCTCGTAGTAAGGGGCTCGAGTCGTACCGGTTCCCTCAGAAATATCCTTCTGGTCATGGGATCGATAACAGTGCCGAAGGATCATGTTCGCCGTCAGAAGAGGCTCCTGCGTGTTGCAGTCGACGATCATCTGCGTCTACATCAGCCTCAGCGACCAAGTGTGTATCCTTCGATAACGATGTGACCTTTTTCGAGTAGTTTGTCTGGTGTGTGTCACCAGTGTAGTTGAAGTAGGGATTCCATAGTTTACTATCAAGGATGCTGTAAAATCGGCGTTCCTTGGTAGTAGTTCTTCACTTTTAGTCTCTTATGGTTGCGAAGCCGTGGTGGAAAGAGGAACTGTATACGTGCTCGTAGTCGTCGTACTGATCATTACCACTATGGAATTTGTTATTGTGTATTTTCCTGTCTCGACATCAGTGGTCTGTCTTCGACACTCGTATAATACGGGTGATCTCAGTAAGCGTAAGTGCAGTATCTATGGACACTCACTATTCTCAAGTTATATACGGTACCACCGAGGCGCTTCCTCTTCTCATGTTCATCGTCACTATGAGTGAATATTCCATATTATCATTCAGTGGCGTTCCACCTCTGCATGAGAGTGAACCTCTTGCTGTATTATTATAACGTACTATGTGATCTCTCTGCGCATCTGCTAGTCGCATTGCATCTTCGTACTGCCGTTTGCCGAGTTATGATGGACAATAATTGGCGATGATATACCCACTACTTCTGAAAATTCGTTTGGGACGTTGAATAGAGCTCTTGAGCGCACATGTCGTTCATATCCTCTTCTTCCTTCCCTTCGTATTGGCCATATTGTTCTGCACTCCACTTGCTCGTTATTTTCTCGATACTTCTCCTCCGTGTTGTTCGGGAAGCGCACTTGACGAGACCAAGTTGGTCTGGCGGGTTTTGTTCAGTTGAGCATTCGCACGTACAGTGTAGCATTAGTGATATGATCGTTTAGCGAACACGATCAACAACCTTCACAAGTTTGTCCAAAAGTCATGGATAGAGAACATTTCTCCTGTTAGAGCCGTTCTCTCTATCTGTGCAATTTTCTTTTCCAATTCTTTCGTACCGCGTTGCCTCGTCAATGGCCGAAGTTCGGAAGACCGGGGGGAGTACGAAAGCATAGCACAGCAAGTTGCACCAATGAGTTGCTCGAATACCAAAATATGGCCTCGGAAATCATAGCTATTATTTCAAGTAGGGAGCATGTTGGGCGTTGCGTAGTGGCTATCTCCAGGAGCTGATCTTCGGCGTGTGACGTGTGCATACAACTTCTTCCCGGAACAAACAGACCCTGGTCTTGGGGTATCTAATGTGACGCATTCGTGAAAAGTGACGGCTCGAGGCATCGTGGCACTTTTCTCCCGATCCAACCCTTAACCGCGCAAGATGGGCTAGGCTGCTGTCATTTCAAATGCCACGCGAGTTGAAATGCTTAGTACAGGTACGATCGTAGAATGCGTTGATGGACAAACAATTCCATGCTTCGTCCTCTCATGGGAATTCCGTGAGAGGATGAAGCATGGAATTGATGATGATCCCGTCACGAGATCCTCTATCATATCTCAAGACCTCGAATACTCTACCGTCACAACGGCGTACGGTTTGACCCAGCATGCTGGTGCGTCATGAGGCTTGCAGGTGACCAGATAGTACTCGTACACTCCGAGGCATAAACTCCCGATATTTCGCGTGGACCATGCGAGCACTCAGCGTAGTCATCAGGGAGATCATAACCACTCCTCTTTGCTCTTCCAAAATGCAATAGTGGCACTAGCGACAAGCTGTAACTGCAGAATCAAAGAAGCATCCTTCCTCCACATCCTCCCAGTGACAAGGCATTGACATTGATCATGATCCGTAGCAAAGCAGTTGTACATTCACAAACGACAGGCAGGTAGACGATAATACTGGCTTGATAGTAGAGCATGGTTCGATAACTCATGGCAAACGTTCGCCAAAGGAATTAAAGAAGAACCAGGTCAATTTCACCACCTTCGTATTACTACTAGTTACCCACATATTTGCAATACTGACGTGAAATGTACATGACGAGACTTCAGCCCACCAAATCCATAACATATGAGATTTGACTGCTCAAAATGATACACATCCCTAATAAATCCCCGAGGAGCTCACAAGAGAAGTTGCGACACACACTGGCGTCTTCTCATTAATTGATAATCCCCTTATGGCGAAATTCTGCTATTCATAGAGAAATGCCGACCACCTGCGCAAATGGCAGTATTGATGCACATATGTCATTCCCTGTCTAGTCTCCTGTAACAACCCAAGCATGAATATACTTAGCAATGTATCAGGAACAATGACGCTTACTGTATACGCCACACAGACAATAGTGATCATATGTGTTAATGAACTACAGGGCATGGAACGGGCTCACCACAGAAGGGCTGGAAGATACGTCACCCACGACAAAAATTCTTCCGCGAACCAATGATAATCACCACGCCAAGAGGATACAGACCCATGAACCGAGTAATAGCACTAGGGTGCTAACTCAGACATGGTACGATAGTAGTAGAGAAAAGACGTTGGAGGAGGTTTACTATGGAGGGAGGAACTTAAGGAACACATAGAATAGTGACAATAGGGATCGCCTCGATTGCTAGTAATGTAAACGAGAAGTATAATGGTGAAAATTGAGCAATCATTGGCTATCCTTGAGAGGCTAAGAGAACGTAAAACAAAGCGTAGTATATTCGATCAATTATCATCAAATAACAGCACATTACAGACACGACCAGGAGAGTTACTGAATGGGAATGCTGAAACCTCGGATATCATCACTCTCCATCTGCTGTAGACTAAGAGGAGCGCTTAGCACACAACGTATAATAATGTACGCTTGGCGCATAAGCGCAGGTTCGAAGTAGTCGAGAGGAAGCGACAGAGGATCCTGAAAGACAGCAGATGGATCCCTAATCAGTCAGACACGCGCTTACTCTTGAGCGAAGCCATTCATAACGTAGTGAGGAACTTTACAGGCGCAAGAATGACTATAACCCTTCGATCAAATCTGAGCCACATAAATCGTGGTACAACGCACCATATTCGACTCACTCACATGATACGTCTCTTCCATGCTTCTCATCGAAAACCTCGCCTAGGATGGGTAATGTGGGAAAATATCCAAGATAGCGATACAGCGGCCAGAGCACCTTCTTGCTGTCGCTGATGAATTTGCTGGTAATATACTGTAACAATTCAAACAAGCATGCGGTCATGAGTCCCATCGGCACGAGCACACACAGAAGTGCCGACAAGTGGGAGAGACTCATGCCGCCAAAATACAGTCCTTGATGCCAATCAAGGTAGCGTCATGGTGATGCTTCGCTCATACATTTGGTACTCCTCAGTAGATACGAAACATCGCCAATCTGAAGGAACCCAGAGATGCACCACTCAGACGCTACAACAGAACCTGCCTACCAATCATTTTCAGAAGCGTCAACTCCAGTGTGTTGAGCTCTGCTACTGACACTCCTCCCACCCTCGCATAGAAAGCGTTTGAATAGTAAATGTCATCATGGAACTTAGCTGCTATGGTTAAAGCGGTCAAAACGAGCCTACGAATAAAAGCATAGCCACGAGAGACGAAGCGACACATCACGCACCTGTGTACGTTCAGAGCGGACACCGCAAACGTATCGTCACGCTTGATAGCTCTGTCGATATAAATCAGACAGAGAACAAACACTTCATCGCTGCAACCGAAATGCTTCGCCAATCGTCTGATATAATCGCCAATTTCGATACCTGGCAAGCTCCAGCGTTAAACAACACAACCGCGGTCAAGACTCACCAGGGCGCTTAACGCAATGGAACCGAGTCAGCGGCTCCTTGCCAGAACCAATACCGACCAGATGCTGGATGACGATGCTAAAAGCTCTCGGGAGGACACCACGCCCAAGACGCTCCTTTAAAGCAGGAGTAGATCGTTGGGGGACCTCAGGAGCCACAGCTTGATGGCGTGCAGTAGTTGATGAAATCTTGTGTTCTTGACTACAGGCCTGCACCTTGTTGCAGGATACTGGAGAAACGTCGCTCACGGCATCCGAGTCGGAAGCGGTAGTCTGGACACTTGAAAGGCGTCGTGGAGTACCAGTGAGAGACGGAGGGCTTAAAGACGATGCATCTGAGGGACGAGCAAATCGACGAACATGAAACGTCAGCACGCATACCCACGAAATCCGAAACGCTTAGATACCCCACACTCACCAGTTGAAGATTCCTCGTCATAATCGTAACAATATTCATGCTTGAGCATCGTGCGTTCCCCGTTGCCCGACTTCTTTTCCTCATGAAACGTGTTGCAGCTCAGATTAGAGCTTCCAGCAGCGCAGATATTGTTTGCCGAGTAATTGGCAACGGTGGTGAAATCGGAGTAGGGAACCATGACGACCAATCAGAACAAAATACAACGCCCAAAGCTGCCGCAACAAACTTGGACACGCTTTCCTCATTCCTTCCGCGATCAACTCCTCTCTGCCATAGCCCAGCTCCCTCTGCCTTTACGCCCCAATTCCCAAGCGAGCCTCTCAAAGTGAAACAAACACAGTCTTTATTCGCTTTCGAGACGTATAACACAAAGCTTGTTGCGAACTAAGCTAAACTGAGCCGAACCGTGAGTACTGGAGGAATTCTACTACACTACAGTCGTACAAAAGCTTAGCAAACATACTGAGATTTACGATTCCTCTTCAAAGTTTCGCAAGCATTTCATGTTGTGAAGCGCTTCAAAACAACGACAAATAAGCCAACTCATCAGACCCATTGTTTCCTAAGCTCGAGCGTACACAACCCCGTGTATGTCACACCATCATTATGAACTGGGCACCTCGAGTAACGCGACAAGAGACCATAATCGCTACTGATTCACTGACTACCCTATAACTAGTAGCAAGGACAGATAACAACCAGATAAGGAGTTTACTTGACGTGCCAGGGGTATTTATGACATGACATAGGAGAACGCCAGGAACTTAGCCACAACACCAATTGTGTTCGCTGTCCCCGTCGCCCTCAGACGTTACCACACCACGAAATACATGCCTCAACCCAGTAAATGATCCGCTTCGTCCTACGACAGAGACACCCCACGCACTAACACCACCCTACATCTCAACTAGTAACGTACATTCTCAAGTTATACGCTCCAAGGCGATGAATCAAACCTCCTTGCACAGCACGCTTAGGGGACAGACACAAAGCTCAAGAGCGCAAGATACTCTTCACGCCCTACAGAAGCGTGGGGAAAATTCTGAGAAAATTTTCGAAGATTCTCATTGGTTTCCGAATCTTAGTACTATATGAACTCCTGTGATAAGTGAGACAACTCCTGAGCTCATCTAAGGAAAGCAAACATATATTCCTCCGACACTGCCCCCACAAATTGTGGGCCACAATACTGAACCCAACAATGTCGTCGCGTTCAAACGAGCACCATAGAGCAGCCCTCCTCCTCCACTCATGCGAGGAGACGGCGAGCGATGGTCCCTACACGCATGCGGCATGTAGCAACAACACTAACACTCCCGTCTCGACAACATTCGGTGCTCGTTCTTGCATATACAATATAGTGTTAACAATAAAACTCAAATCAATTATCATCTGTGCCGCCTCGTAAAAAAAGTAGTAATGGACGTTCTCATCAACAAACCTGACATGACATACAAAGTACTCCTACACTCCAGCAGCCCCCCAAAAACGACAATCCCATCTACGCCTACTGTCCTCCTCCTCCTCCGCCACCACCACTAACCGTCCATCTCGACCAGCTCGCCGTCCAGACCAACCTCTTCAGCTGCCTTAGCGGCCATTGCGGTCACTAGAGGACCAGCATAGAGGTGTGAGGTGGCAAGCCGATCGAACGGACGGCCATCTCAGGGTGGGGAGGAACAGAACCGACTGGAGGTCACAGAAATGATCACATTCATGTAAGTCAAATTACACCATGCCAGAAGAGTCATGACAAGGACCCCAAGAACTCACGTAGACTGCCGAACGCAGTGGCCACCTTCTCGAAAATTTTATTTTACCAACGTCCTAGTAGCGACGATAACCTGAGGAGTTGACATGACCGAAATTAACGGAGACTCCACAAAATTGGAGGTCCTCAACAAACTACTATCACCTCCTCCCCAACGACCGCCGCCGCCGCCGCCGCCTCCACCACCGAAGCCTCCAACCGTCATTGACAGGCGTTCCAGTTCGGGCGATACCTGCAAACACACGCTACAGAAAACTTGCGCACATCCCTAGTTAGATCACCCGGAAATGCTATAGAAAAACAAAAGTGTTCGACAACTTACCGTTTGATTCGCCTCGCGTAGGATTTGAACTAGGCCTCTGGCCATCTTAATCTTATCAGCAGTGAAGAACGTATAAGCATTCCCCTTACACCCCGCTCTTCCCGTACGGCCTGTCACCATTGTAAATGACAATTCCAACCACAACAGTCATTCTACACTCACCTATCCTATGCACATAGTCTTCGATCTGACCCGGGAAGTCATAGTTGACAACATGGCGGATGTCTTTTACGTCCAGGCCACGACTAGCTACATCTGTAGCAATCATAATGGGGCTCTTACCCGACTTAAACTCATGAAGTACCTACAACACCATATACAAGGCAATACCATCAACAGCAACGTACCCAATCCCTCTCCTCTTGCTTCTTGTCACCATGAATGCACAGGGCTGGCCAACCGTCCATCCTGAAAACCATACATAACATCAAAAATACTCCTATGCAAACTCACCTCAGCGTCCTCGTGAGGTCATCAGCTCCTCTTTTAGTATCAGTAAAAATGAGCAGCTTAGAGCCATCCATAACCCTCTCAAGGAGTTGCTTCAGTCTGTCCCTCTTCTCGTACTCTTGTACCACATCCACATACTGCGTAACACTAAGACAAATCGAAAGTCTTTCGCCTGGCCCTTCGAAGACAGCGAACTACTTGTGGCAAGCCTTCAGAGTGAGAGTACCAACATTGATATGGACAGGCTCCTCCCGACACAGGTCCCTCGCCAAGCCCTGGACCTCTTTGGGCCACGTCGCCGACCACAACAACGTTTGCCTATCTGGACGGATCTGCGATGTAATCTTGCGAATCTAAAAACGACAATATGACCCTCGCTACCGTAACTTTCCCAAAACCCACCTGAGGCTCGAATCCCATATCAAGCATACGATCGGCCTCATCCAACACCAAGTAGGTGACTCTACGTAAATTGGTCCTCTGCGACTCCAGAAAATCGATCAATCGGCCGGGCGTGGCAATACATATCTCCACCTGTCAACCGGAGATGCACAACAAAACTCAATGCCTGAGGCAACCTACCCCCTCGGAAAGATCCCTAGCCTGAGGGCCTCTGGGGACTCCTCCATAGCAACAAGTGTTCTTGATCTTAGACGACTTGCCAAACTTATTGCACTCCTCCTGAATCTGAACTGCCAACTCCCTCGTTGGAGCCATAACCAGGACGATCGGACCATCACCTGAGATAACATCAAAAAAATACGGCGTAAATTGGTAGTAGGAATTGTCTACACGTAAAAAGATGAATACTCAGAGAAGGCGAAATCAAGGGCATACACATTCACAGTAAACTTGTATAAAGATATTATATATCATCCTCAACAACTTACCACGTTGAAGGTAGGGCTGAGCATTGATATGAACAATAGCAGGGAGAAGGAAGGCCAAAGTCTTCCCACTCCCGGTCTCGGCAATGCCCACCATATCACGGCCCGACATAGCAACTGGCCAACCTTGTATCTATCCAACAACACCAACAACCATTGCTGCCTCATACACTGATGATCGTAGCAGTACTTGTATAGGGGTCGGAGCCACAAACCCAGCTTGTGCCAGTTCATGCAGAATGTAGTCAGGGAAACCCGCTTGCTCGAAGGTAACTAAGGACAGACATTAACCAGCAAGGCAGTCCACTAAGGCAACTCACCGATGGGACGAGGTACGTTACGACCGGCCACGATGGTGATGTCGTGCTTCCTTCTGATATTGTCAACTTCCTCAGGGGTAAGGCGACTAACGTCCGGATGCTCTATGTAAAAATTCTTCTCAAACTTGGTCAACTGGATGTGACTCCAATCCTAAAGACAATGAAATATCCGAAAGAGAAAACTAATTTATACAAAGCTACTTGAGAATGCAAACGAGCGCCAAGACCAGAATTCATAAAGGAGCTTCCACTGCCTCCTCCACCACCACCAAAGCCAAAGCCCCCAGCTCCAGCAGTGCTGTAACCACCAGTATCATAGCCCTGGTAGGAGATTAACTAGCGTAGGGTTTACCAAGGCACTTACCCTAGACCCGCCAAAGCTGCCCCCATAACGATCCCTCGAACGAGAACGGGAACGGTGACGATTGGCGTAAGACATTCTAGTAGGGGAAGTATTCGACTTCTCAAAGAGTTACTCAAAGTTGTTCACTGCCAGCGACCAGCGCATCTTGTCTATCTTGCACGCACTTGCATTTCCTCAACGTGACTCGTTAGTGGTACACAGTGTACCGTACACTGTTAAAGTACCTCATTTAGCGCCTCACAGTACGGGCTGTTCCTGGCAGTCCAAGCTACCCCAAATCTAGGGTTAGCCCAAAATACCAGCTAGGGTAGGATGAGGGGCCCCGGGCCCAGCTTGGGCAGCCCTAGCTGGCATATGCGGAACATCTGGCCGGCGCTCTACGCTCGGATAATCTTGGTGGGGTGGTAGAATCGCTGGTCATCATCCGAAAAGACCCTGGTTCGATTGAACATATGGTCATTTCTATGCATTTGCTGCCGTGCAGCTGCATACATGTTCAAGAGGACCATATGGGGATAGAAGGTTTCCAGGTGAGTGTTGGTTATTCACTCTATTTTATCTTTGATGGGGGGATCTAGTCTACAGTGTACACACGGAACTCATCGCACAGTAAACTATGACCAGCCTTATCGGAAGTCCAACTACTCATCAGTAGCGGGCCATATCGCTTTCGGTCAACACTCGGTTCTCTTTGATAGGACATCCCTCGAACACTGGGTAGGTCATGCTATCTTGGACGGTATGGTGCTGGTCTTGGGTTGAATATGGACCACCCTAGGACTGAGTCTGGTGTTGATATACGTACGGATGAGGAAGAGGACTGATGGCGTTCACGCAGGTAGTACTGGCGGTACGACACGGAATAGCATGGGTGTATGGCTCGATAGGCTTATCTACACTAGCGTCCGTCTTCAGTCTGCATTCCCTCACCCGTAGGTGCTCTTCTCATTCAGACTGTGATACAGCAAGTGGCCTCCTCTTCGACGCTCTAGTGGAGGGTGGAATTGTAGAATTCCTGTTTGGGAAGTGCTTGGAGAGTTTCGGCCAGTTTCTCTTTATTCGACGCGGGTGTTGGTAGTAAGGAAGATAGAATTACAGAAGCTCCCAACAGAAACGACCTGGTGGGTCGGTCCGAGACACTTGAACATGTACATGGACTTTGACGATTATATATTGAATATCACATCTTGTAGTTTTATGCAAGAGTCTTACCTACCATTATTACATGTATATATTCCATTGTTATACACTAAGCACATCTACTTGGTTAAACTAAAATGTTCCACTGCCCGAGAGGGTAAAACTCTAACGTAATGGGTGAAAAGTAAAATTTGTCGTTTTGACCTAGAGATGCTGCAGTCATTCCCCGTCCCTCTTCAGAAGAGATGCTCGTCTAGTGGGCGCTTGGAGGTCACTGTGATCACCGCGGTACGACTAGGAGGGGCGTATAGTCTGCTATAGAAGGATGCGGTGAGTAGATGAGGCTTTCACAATAGACATCTTGTGCATGGTCAGGAGCCAGGTAATAGTCCCGTGTCACCACTAGAGGTTTGATCATGGTTTACGTGATTATGGAGGCACTGGGCTGACCAGCGGGTACAGGCTCACTTGGTAATCAGTGATGATAAACCAATGGCAGTGGCATTTGCACAGGTGGCAATAGCAGCAGTTCAATTCGGTTGAAGGAGGAGGAGGTACTCTTCCCCATGTCGGGATCGGGCCCTGAAGATAATAGGGCATGGGAAATACTTATGTCTTATGTAGTAAACCTCAGAGTAAGACGGATGTTCGTGGGTACTTGTGATTCTCACTGTATGGCATGCTGCTGCTTGTTATCACACGCCCATCACGTAGTTAGTTGTCCGAGACATTTTTCTGAGTGTTCTGAGGCGTTATGTTGGGCGTTTGGTATGTTGGTGTTTATAGTTATTCTTGGACCAGCCCTTCTACTAATACAAGAGTGAATGATGGACCATTCGGTGCCACAGCCGTCGCCGGTAGTCGCCGATTCTGATAGCAACATGAAGGGTCAAGGACAGAATGGGGATGATAGTAGCCTTCCTGGTCCTGTGGGGGGTGAGGCTGTATTAGAAGGAGTCGCTGATATGAACAGACGGCCGTCTACGGTGAGACTATTACTCAAGAACTCGGTGGTCCACTTTGAGGAGGAGACTGAAGGGGCGCCCCCTAGCCTACAGGAGATGTGTAGACAGCGGAGTCAAAGTGATATGACCGCGAACAAGACAGATGCCTCCGTTCTGATAGGGAAATATGATCCGGTTACACAAGAACTGCAATATGTTGATCCATATAGGATTGATGATGATGATGACGGGTCGAACCCTGGTCCCTTCCCGTCCTACCCACCTCAATCGTCTTCGGTGCGACAGCATCAACCGGGGCTTGAGGGTATAGAAGAGATTAATGACTACGATGAAGATGAGGAGGGCCTATTGGGGTCATGTCCCTCATCCCAACCGGCTTCCGCCAGGGTATTTGCTCATTTAGACGGCTTATTGGCGACTCCACCTCTCGGGCCGGCTCAAGAGATTCCTCCCGCTGTCACCACCTCACTGTCACCCTTCACTTCACACAACCGGGTAGACTCACCTCGACAACAACACGAAGAGCTCCAGACCGCACAGAAAGCTGCGGACGGGCATCATCCCTCGACTGGTGTGAGAAAGGGTGGTGGCCTGACGAGATACAATAGAGAATCTCAGGCTCAGGATGGCGGTTCTAATACGACTATTATGTTCCGCAACATCCCTAATAGATTCTCACCTGAGGGCCTGCGTGAAGTTATCCGGGACAAGGGCTTCGCCACGAGCATGGATTTTTTCTATATGCCTATGGACTTTCAGAATCAGTGTAACCTTGGATACGCTTTCATCAACTTTGTCAATGTGGACGAGCTCGACAGGTTTACTCAAGAATTTCACGGTCAGAAATTACCCCTATATAAATCGCACAAGGTTTGCGAAGTGTGCCCGGCCAGAGTGCAGGGCTTGAAGGCCAATGTTGATCATTTCCGTAAGTCTGCGGCGCGCGGTTCGATCCCCGATGAGTACAAACCGGTGTGCTTCCGTAACGGTGAAATGGTACCCTTTCCCCCATCCGAGAGGCCCTTCCACCGCAGTGGTAATGGTGAAGATCACAGAAGGTCGTCCAAGAGCTCCGCACATAGTGGCAAGTTCGGCGGGTTGCGTGGCGATTCTTAGATGAGTAGAAGAGTGTTGCTAGTGGTTTTATGAACGGGTAAATGTATTATAACACTACCCGTAGGCGTTTATTCGAAAATATGTACCATACTATATCGCAATTCAGTGTTGTCCCTGGCGTCATCTTTATCACCATTGGCGGTATTCTCATTGATCATGGGTGAGAGACATCGGTCCTGCAACTACTACCACTACCATTGCTGCTATCGTTGGGTATCACTAGAATTATACACATTCTTGTCACTGTCAGAGTTGATTTGTTGTCGTTCTGTATCTAGTCTCAAGTTTTTATGCTGCTACTACCATTACTCCTACCACTACTACTACCATTACTCCTACCACTACTACTACTACCAGCTCCGACTTACTGTTGGCTTATTACGGGTGTACATCACACGGCTATGTGCTATTGAGCACAAGTTGAGATTAAACAGTGTTGTTGTATGTTGAAGATGTGCTAACCGACAGTTCCTGCGATAGATGTTGTTATTATTCATTCTGTCACTTTCCACTATTGCTTTTGGTCGATATCGGGAAGAAAACAGTGTAGGTTGTCAAACTATATCACACTTGATTCAAGTATACGTGCCCAGCCTCGAGATGGTGATGCTCTTCTCTGCCTGCCAGTGTTTATGCTAATAATGATGATATTGTTGGCAGACTATGGGAGACGGAAGCGTTGATTCATTAGAGGCGGGCTAGATTGTTTCCATAGTAGCCTTCACTCAATCATCAATGCAGTGTGTTTGTCTTGTCAATTTGCGGAACAGAGGTGTCGCTGATGGTTTTACTGGCCTTTTTTGAACGCTCGCTAGAGAGTGCGTTGGGTCGATCATCATCATCATCGTCATTTTGAAAAAGTGATGTGCTACTTGCTTTGCTCGCAGTAGATTTCAGTAGGGCCTCAGTCGTAGAATCGAATTAGTAGTAATGTGTTTTGCTGAAGTTGACTCGTGTATGATACAATGACAACAGTTCCATGGCGAGTGGGTCAGCGACGACTCCTGTCGTCATTGGCATTGCCGAATAGGCTGCTGCTGCTCACCCTACTCAGCATCTTCAATCTTGCAACCGCGACGACGACAGAGTCAGAGCCACTGAGAAAAGAACGAGCAACTTCAGAGACTGCAAGGAATTTGGTAGCCACACTAGGGATCGAACGAATGCCTCTGACTTCAACGAGAGTCGCCATAGTATCGTCTAGAAATGATGATGATATCACACTTATCGATGACTATTGCAGGCGGTCATCACTAACGTCTTCACCCAAGCCAACACCGAGATAGAGGTTCTCGAGCCTGGCGAGAGCACTCCGATCAATCGTGGTTATCAACAGAGTTTCAAAGACCTTAGTGCACTCTATGCTGGCTTAGAGTGAGACTCGGTTGCCTCACTATGGTGATGTCATTTGGGGTAGATACCAATTGTTGGCTATTCGTCTCCGCCTGGGAGACCAATTCAATGTTGATCAAGCCAGAATCACTTTCGTCTTGGGAGAGCCCGACACAGCGACAGTAAGCAGGAGTGCTCACTTTGTTACCAACTTGGAGTTCATTCAGGTCCAGGATGGGTATTGTCTAGATGGACATGCCAATTCACAGCTAGCAGGCCCAGCTAGAGTGTCCGATCCCTGGGCTGAGCCACCCCATGCGTCTACATCGGACACTGTGACCACTCCGTCAGCCCTACTCTATGGAGAGACCATAAGTGGTGCCATCAGTACGCTCACGCCGTTGACCTTCAAGATGGGCGGCATTTATCGACTTTGCTACTCCTCTGATGGTTCATTTTCAAGCGGCTATACCGACACGCCCGATATATCCATACACGTTAGTGGTGTCAGCGTCGACTGTGGGGACCGGGACTGCCTTGCTCAGAGGCCCTTCCGGTGTTGGGCCTTGTGGAATGCCCTTAGTGCTGCTGGTAGCTGCATTGTTAACTATGATGCCTTCACGCCGTCCGATTTCCCTGGGAAGCTCACTTGGTCAGCTAGCTTTAGTGCCACCTACGACTCGGTCACTGGAGTACAGACAGCCTACTCTCCCCAGGCATGTGGATCGACTTATCCCTCAGAGGTCTTATGTGATGCTGGAGGCAGCTGCAATATGACTGGAGGCTACATGCTCAGCACGGATGGGCTCAAGAACGACTTGGAAGTGAAGATCCCACAAACAGTGGGTTGGTTGAATGGGACTCACTACAAGGCGACTGCAGTGGCGGCGTGCTATTGCCCAGATTATGATGCTTCGGTTGGTGGGAAATGTGATGCTTTCAATGAGTAAATGAATACATCAGTAAGACGACACAGCAATTGCTACTCTTTTCCAGGTACGTACAGCAGATCGCGATAATTGAGATTTATACTGTGAGGCTCTGTAGTCCTTTCGCCGCAGTGCCTTGCGCGGAGGAGTACTTCACAGCTGTCACTCCTGGACAGAAGTTCAGTATTAGAGTTGACTGTCCGCCAGGAGCCTGCGCATTCGACATAGAGAGCCGCATCAAGGTCGTTGCTATCGCTGATGCTTCCCGTGTTGGGTCGGCATTCGATCTGCCCAGCTGGGTCACAAGTCCTGTCCCGCACGGGTGCCACGCTGCTAACCACACGGACATGCTGTCTAGCCCAGTCACTTGCTACGGCCCAAATGATTGCATCCTTCATGGTGGGTATCGGCAGGATTGGAAAGAATTCGGCCTGCCTGTCAATGGCACATCAACGTACGTATTCGACGCGGGCTGGACTGAACACGAAAAGTTGAACTTCAAATCTGCGAAAGACTTTGACGTGTGTTTCTGCCACGGCTCATGCGAAACCCCCACGAACTGGTTCAAAGTTGGACAGCTTTCTTTGCATCCTTTCCGCCCTTCTAGCGGTTTCGTCTTTGATGGCGATACCGTGAAGGAATACGCCTTTTTGCGGTATGTCAACCGTAACGGCACTTTGGCGTTCAATCGATGGCTCAATCACAGCAGTGGCCAGATGACTCTAGGCCTACAAGACAACGGTATCATCAAGCTCCTCAGTGACGATGAGAGGACCATCACTGACGCTGACTGCCAATCCCGGACATGGGACGTCGAGTATGTGCCGGCTCTCTATGGAACTACGGTTGGGACCTACAGAGGACGGCAACATAGTAGCTTTCCTTATCAAATGGGTTTCACCAATAAGGTTGACTATGTCGACTTCTCGGACACTCTTCTTGCTACCAAAGCCGGTATCATGGCCGTATGCTATTGTGCCTTGACAGAGTCGCTCACGTATCAGTGTCGTGACAGTGCTTCATGGACTCTCATTCTACGTCTCACTATAAGTGGACCGAGGCGCGGTCAACGATGGTCATTTGCGACCAACATTGACGTGAGGCTTGAGTACACAGGCTGGGGCCTCAGTAGTGACAACACTGTGAGGATCATAGCAGCAGAGGCAAGCTGTCTGGATGACAGTGGCAACCCTCATGAAGTCGAAGCGAGCGTTCAAGTTGGATGCCCCACGGCTTGCGCAGCACAATCGGGCTTGGCTGGGTCAGAGACTAACATAGCAGGCATCACACTTAAATTCGACAAGGCGAACTGCGACGTTCAGAATGCCAACTGTGGTACAGCTTACCTCACTCGAATCGAAGTTATCAGCGACACTATGACTTACTTGTACTTCTCTGGAACACCAAACCTCAAGACGGGGGATGTCATCATCATCACCTCCGGCATACAGTGCGATTCTAGTGTCGCCACTAATCCGTGCAATGAAGACATGCTGGCAGCAATGAAGGGAGTTTATGAATTTGCAGACTATAATAATAACAACGAATCACTTGCTGATAGCTACGTCCTAGGACATACAATCACGGCATTTACAGACACTCCGTCGAAGTTTGCTGTGGATATAGGATGGCCGGAAAACAAACGGCCGTATTTCGCAACGGAATCGTCCGCGGGTCAATGGACAGTGCTCAACCGTGTCATAACAAAGGAAGAGATCAGGGCCATCTCAGAGAGGACCGACTTGAAGGTTTGCTGGTCTTATGGTGGCAACGGCAACTACGTAGCCGAAGCCGGGCGTATATCGTTTATCGATCCTCCACCGATGGCTGCGACTTCGGTGTCCCTGTCCACTATGGTTCAGGGTGCCCGGGCCCCAGGAATCATATCATTCAAGACGGCGGGTGGAACTGTTGGCAAGCAGTACACCCAGTCGACCGAGCTGACCCAGCTGAAGATCATCTTTGTCAATACTGGCTTCCTAGAAGCATACTATTCTGATATGGAGAGCGCTGAGATTGATGATGCCAACACGGGCGAAGACGAGTTTGACGAGGCACGACAATATATCTGCGGCAAGTTGTTCAAGGAGCTATGGAGCGATGACGCGGAAAACGGCTTCCCCATGCCGAGAGGCTGTTACTATCGTTCTTTTGCCACCTCCAGAGAGTTCTTCATAGTTTTCGATCGTCGAAATGGGTTGAGCCCCGATACGAACTACAAGATAGTTATGAACATGGCCGGGTTCGTTGGCCAATCGAGTGACAAGGAATATATCCGCATCATATCCATGGTAGCCTTGGAGAGCGCACCGTACACCGCTCTGGAGATAGGCCGACCTCTGCTCACTCGCCTGGCTATACCAACAGGAGGAGTCTTGGCCTCCCATTTCTTGATACCGGGAGGTTTAACAGTAACTGGTGGAAGCAACCAAGTAAAAGAGTTGACCATCGGCACAGCTCTCACTGCTGGAGAAGCTCAGCTTACACTAATGATCACAGGCTCAGAGAACGAGCGGTCAGCTATTGTCGGTGGCAGCATCCTAAGGATATACATGTGGCCCTTATTAGAATGGGATATGGAGAGAGAGCCGACTATGACGTGCACTGCCGTCGACTCAACGAGTGTTTGTGGTGACATCACTGAAGTGAAGACAGAGTCAGTCGTGCCCAACGGTCACAAGAACATCCTCAAGCTCAGCTTGCCTGATGGAATGACTCCTCTGTACGGCACAAGAATGGTGAAGATAGAGCTGAATAACTTGGACCTACCTCGGGGAGGCTTCTTCCCTGACAGGCTAGCGGCACAGATCACTACGTCAGCTGACGAGAGCCCCTCCTATGTCATGTCTAGTGGAGATTATCTTTGGAAGAAGCCTGATGCAGGATTCACTCTAGCAAGGGTAAGTAGCTATTACCACACAGGGGCTACAGTTGTGCTACTTAGATACTCGCCACTGATGGTCATACGAAACCCTTCAAATCCGATGTTGGTAACATCATCTATGTGAAACTAAACCTCGGCGCGACGCTGTTTGCTGGTGGTAGCGGCACGGCAATTGCCGCATTATTCACTTTGAGTCTACCAGAAGGTTACGTTTGCCGCGAGACGGCGGCTGTCGAGGATAGTCTGTCGTTATTCAAGACAAGACTACCGCAAGGCAAGGGCACGGTGGAGAAGCCCGAGATGTGGTCGTTCAGTGGCAACAATGAGTGCAGCTTTGGTCTGTCGGGCTATGATGTCATCTATAGTGGCAGCAGTATTATGATCAAGGTCGTCGTCGATAACCCACCCTCCCCAATAGGCCAAGCGAGCAGCTCCAACAGGTGGCGTGTTACGATTGCTTCTCGCGGGTATAACCCTCAAGCGAACCAATTGTATTCAGTGGAGGGCAGTGTCTTCATGTCAGCCCAACCTGAGGTGTTCTTCGGCAGTCTGCCTGTACTAGGCAAGCTCAGAACAGCAGTCATCGTACCAGCCGACTTCTCGGTTTCAACTACTTCTATCCTGCGTCGTAATTGGATGAGTGTATGGTTCCATACTGAGCAGTCGGCCGGCCAGAATGGGTATATATTGATAAACGCCCCCAGACACTTCAATTTCGGCAAGGCTTGCCGGGTGGAGAACCTCGAGGAGGAGTACTATGTCAGTGGTGGTGACACCACAGCCTATCCACTTACCGCCGTTCTCTCCTGTGACGGCCTTGCTGAGGCTACAGACCGACCCAATCTCCAGGGGCGCACATCGATAACAGCAACGACTGCGAGCCGGTGAGGCTAGTCTCGCTGTTGAAAGATCAGTCTCAACTTACACTGTAGGTATCACCAAGCACTTATTAACATAGGCCAGCTCATCAAGGGAGACACCCTCTATGGCTTACGCTTGGCAGTTTACAACCCTTTTATTGACGATATCGATCCTGACGATGACGACTCCTGGCGGATATGGACACTCAACGACAAGCTCCAGTAAGGCAACAGTAGAAGCACTGTTCCAGAGATGCCTCCTCTGCGCAGGTACATTGACGGTACCTCAACTACAGTGTCCTGCTCACCACAGTTGAGCACCTCATGGAGACTATACCGTTATATGCTCACTACGCCGGATCGACCATTGGCTGGATGTAAGGAGGCTGCCCGGCTGTTCGCTATTCAATCGGCCTCAGTGCCCATCCACATCTCTGCTCACCTGAGCTCTGCTGCACCCTATCGACTGAGTATGGAGCTTGCCATGCTCGACGTCTACATATGGGGACTGCCATGGTCGACTAATAGTAAGTTCCGAATCGTCTAGATTCTCCCGATCGTCACTGCTCAGGTACCTTCCGTGCTTCTTTGCCGGCTGGGTGGCAGTGGGTCATTCGGACTGAGGAAGACTTTCTAGCTTGTCGTTATTGCACAAACAGCAACCTCAAGTTGGATAACATCACAGCCGACTGGCCGACACCAATGATACCAATGAACGATTCCTCCGTGAGTGTAGAAAGGCAGCAGCTTGTCAACGACTAGAATGTTCAGGTTCTCTCGTGGGGTACCCAGCGCCTCTATTTCGACGCTTCCAACATCTATGGCTTCCGGGCTCCGGTCATGGTACCATCCTTCCCTCCGACGGCCTCAACACGCAAGCTCCTGATCGAGTTCGGCTTCGATGAGGTATGATGACACCCTAGTTTTAGCCGTTCTAAAGCTCTCTCAGGCGAAGGCGAATGATCGGCCATTCGCAGCTACTCTGTCGCTCGGGACAATAACGTCTCTCGGAGGATTCACGGTGGGGCTCTGATACTTCCCGTGTGCTTTTTATAGCAACGCACTTCAGGTATCTCCTAGCAGTAACGTTGTGAACAGACGAATCGACCTTAGCTTCACAGTGCGTACTGCTAGTGCTGTCCTACCACAGTCAGATGCCCTTGTTATCACCTTCCCAGTGGGCTATGATATGTCTACAGCATGCGTCCTCGGACCCACCTCAAGGCGATCTAGGCGCTTGATGGCTGACGGCTCGATCCCTAGCAGTATTGACAAGTGGATCCTTCCGCATCTGGTGGCAACAAATATTGGAGTTGGTGCATCGGTCCAGACAGACGAGCTCAGCATTGAATTACCTCCAGGAGTGGTATGTGAATGGAACGCTGTCTCCCTAACAGTCACACTGCGGCCCACTACTAGTGCTATCGAGCCCAACTTTTACCGCTTCGACATACTCGGGGTGCTTAACCCCAGTGACGAGCGTGAACTCCTGCCTGATGCTGCTTCGGCCTGTGGGAGGTCCTCATGCTTCAAGCTAGAGAGCCTCCAAGGAGTCTCCACTGATCCTCGTACACTCGACTTGGCCGCCTATTATCCTGCTCCTTCCTTGAGTGTGATGATGGAAAAAGCTGGCCTGGCTCCTATCACAGTGGCCCAGAAGCTGGCGACTGGCAGGAACGATCAACCGGGCAAGCAGAACAACGTGATACTGGAATTCAGATTGCCAAGAGAAGCCAGCTTGCCCACTGATGCCACTCTGATCGTTACCGCACCTTCTTCTCTGGTTTTCCCAGAGGCCTGTCTGCTAGGTCTGGAGACCCGGCTGGACGAGGTCTTTGGAGCTGGCCAGTCGCCGCCTCCCCAATACACACGGTGGCCCGCAACAGCGGCCATACGATCGTGTGTTGGGGAACGCAATGTCGTCCGTATGGTCGTTGGGCCGGGTTTTGATAATGAGAAGCTCTACGTCTTCCGATTGCGCATACAGAGCAATCCTATAGAAGATCCCGTGGAGAACTCATGGCGAATCGAGCTGGGTGGTGAGAGCAGCGAACCCTTCCCTGGCTTTGAGCTTTGGTCCTTCGAATCCACTCAAGTCGCCCCAGTGAGTGTTGCCAAGAACAGACCAGCACAGCCCGAGGTTCCTTCTGAATGGGTGAAGAACTCCGTGACAATATCCTTCACTACTCGCAATACAATAGACAGGGACACTCCAGTGCCAGGCGGAGGGGCTGTTCTAATGCTTACTGCTCCGCGCGACTTCACGTTCGTTGCTCATTCGGACATTGATCGTAGCGACGAGTGCGAGGGAGTAGCACTGGAAGAGCTAGCAGGAGCTGACGAGGAGTACGAGCCAGCCTCGGTGTTCCAGTAGCCGTCACTCTCAACACTGTTGCCTTGTGATTCGAATAATGTCTCAGCTCCGCCGACTTTTCCTGTATCGTCAGTGATCCAGATCCGAGCACGGCAGGAACAAGTTCAGCAAAGTGAGGTCAGCAAATGGTATGAACATGAACTATGCCACTTCAGGTTCCACAGAATCACGATGACCTTTCTGAGTGACAAGCCTCTTCTAGCTCGGCGTCGTTATCGCCTCACAGTATTGGTTTACAACCCTGACGTTTCGATCGAGGCATCTAGAGCGCCTTGGCTACTGCAGAGCTACCGGAACGCTCTAGACGTGTAGACTCCTGCTGCTATTGGAATAATGGCTGTGTACCATGGTCCTGGTTGTCAGGGAAGACCCAGCAACGTCGGCCCTGGATGAGACTACCATGCAAGGCTTCAGTGTCGTCAACTTTCTCAATGAGTTCACAGTGCGGAACTCGGATCCGATCACCCAGCTCCCAATCGCGGCCGGCAAAACGGAGGTAGAGGCAGTTGTACTTCCGAAATAATAGACTGCCGTTGGGCGTCTCAGATACCAGCTCTTTTCATTCGGGTCAAGTTCTCGGCTACACTGGACGTGGGAGATGTCCTTTTGATCGAGGCACCTGAGGGGTATCAATTTGCTGGCAACGGCGAAATCTGTCACGGCTTCACTTGGATCACCACCCGTGGGAAGTAAGTGTGCCAGTAGCCACTACGGCTATTGTAAAAACCTCATCCACATTACATCAGTGTTTGGATATATGTATGCTTCTCTCAGCTGGGCTCGAGAGTTTCCTCACTAAGTATGAAAGTTCACATACGATTTCGGGTAGAAATGTACAGAAACCAACAAGAATTTCGTGAAATTACCCCAGAATTTGCGTATTGTCACCGACGTATCTAGTTGACCATGAGCATATTTTCCAACAGTAGCATGTCGATCTTCCTCAACCAGTTACCTCCCCAATTCGCTGCCCATCTGTGATGGAAGGCTGATGCATCTCACTGTGGACGAGCCAGCAGGGTATCCGTCAGACTATGTAAGGCCCATACTCGGCGTGGTCCCGAAACTACCTGCTGCTTTCTAGACGATCGAGTTCACAATAGCTGTCACTAATCCAGTTGAAACTCCGACGCCAATGAACAACTTTTGGAAGGCTGGTCATTTCCGACCATCGACTCACAACGAAGGGGTACGATCTTTGACTGCAAGGATCGGAGCCACTCTGTTCAGGTTGTTGCTGTTGAAGCATTTGCAGTGCAATCGTCTTGGACCGTGGTTCCCCAGTTGGAGAACTGCACCCTTGAGCTCATTGGGGAGATGCGTGCTGCGACGAGGATGTCAACAATAGAGGTGGGGGTATTCCAACTCTATACCAAGTCCATTGAAAGTTACTGCTTCCTGACAGATCTCGTTCACTGCGGTTTCTGATGCGGACAAACTGGTCATCACAGCATTGAAGCCAACAGGCTTTGATTTCACTGCGACGATTGCCCTCTCCGATGGCCACGAGATACTCGATGCTGGTGGTAGCACAGTGAGCCTTAGAGTGGTCACAAGGGCAGGCGAGAGGAATACCGTCAGGCTTGGGGAGGTCAGTGCTCAGTAGTTCCTGTTGGCGAGCTCGACACTACCTCATAGGTCCGGCTTGGTGACCTAGGGGGTGAAACTGAGTTCGATATCACCACTTTTCTAATGGACGAGAAACGTGACCAAATATCCGCCTATAAAGAGGGTTTCGATCTACCAGGTGGGTTTCCATGGTCAAATTCCATCATCACTGGTCATCGTTCAGGCCTCATCACTGTCTCTGAGGCGAGGCTGTTATCTCAAGCCACTGCTGACCCGCTGGCTTACCCTGTTTCCTCCCAATTCGGGATTCAACTGTCCACCCTTGAGGAGGCAATGGAGGCCACAGCAATCCTCTATACCACTATGACTAGGTCCGTAATGCTCTCTATTAGTGATAGTATAGTACTGCCCTCAGGACTGCTCATGCTGGTGAGGCCTTCTATATCAACGCTAAGTCGTATATGGTGCTTGATGAGGATTTCGCTCTCACTGATGTGGCCGATAACCGCACCATAAAGGTGGGGAACGACTTCCTGCATTACTCACGGTTTTCCTTTGAGGACAGGTCTCTAACGTGACAGCTTCAGCCGACACAATATGGTGTGTGCTGATGGAAGCAATGCAAGCCGGACATGTGTACATGGTCTTGTTAAAGGTACATCTCTAGTCCTCCGGGCCGCCCTTGTGTCCTCAGCAGGTTTACACTCCGATGGATCCCCGGCGCATTTACCCTGATCTTTCCACACTCACTGCTGAGCAGCTGACGATGCTCCCGACCGAGAGTGAGCTCATACTCAGAAACGCTGTTGGAATTCATGATCGCTCTCCTCAGCTGAACTCAGGAGTTTCCTCACTAATAGTAGTTTGTATGCGAATTAGAAAAGAATTACTACGACCCTCCAACCCTCGAATTAAGAAACCAACAAAAATTTGCCGAAATTCATCAGGATTTTGATATTGTCACCGGCCCGTGTAGTTGACTTTGTGCACATTTTCCCACACTGCTCAGAGGCTGCCTCGTTCACCTACTATTATTGGGTGTATGGTCAGGTCTTACTAAGATGACAGTTGGATCGAAGTGGCTGTTGGAGACTACCAGGCTACCAGCAGACGGAGGAGCTACTACTGGACTGCCGACGAACACGAATGATCGGTAGGGTTGTGGCCAGCACTTCCCTGTGGGATCGATCCATCAGGTTGATGCGCTCACCAGGAGAGGCAGAAAACGCTGACGGCTCCTGGTTCAACATGGTTTCTGAATTGGACTTCGAAGTGGTGCCAGCGTCGTGTTTGACATGTTCTTGGCACCATCCTCCCGATTCGGACATTCAAGTGAGTTCTGTTAACTGCTATTGTATACTGTTGCCTTTCCAGGTGTCTCTGGGTTTGGATCTACTAGGCACCAAGCCTGATGTGCTCTGTATTGTGGCACCTCCCGACTTCACATTCAACAGCCCGGACTGCCTCTACCAATACAGTGGTACCGATCTCCAAGGCTGTCGAGTGTCGGCCTTGGAACTGCCTGATGGCAGTCAGCGTCAGGTGAGCAACAACTGCCTTTCTCGTTGGAACTCTCGGAGATGGAGTCCGTACCGCTTGTTGTGGTTGACCAGTAGTACTGTCCAGTAGTTCATGTTGTAGCTTTCGTAGGTTGCTGTTCTTCTCGCCCAAGACGGCGGGCTCCAGTCGCTGCTGCTCAGTCTGGTCATCACAGTGAGGACACCGCCTCAGACTCCAGCCTCTATCAAATGGTATGTGGTATTCATGGTGAATCTACTAGACTAGAGCAGGTATGTCCGAGCGTTGAAGCTCACGAAGGAGGAGTCCTCACCAGCTCTGAGTGAGTCAGTGATGGGATATATGCTCGCTTTCTTCAGCTAAGCTCGTGAGTTTGCTCACTAATGATATGAGTTTACATACAAACTAGGGTACACGTGTGCGAAAACCAATGACATGTTCCCAAAATTTCCACACATGTAGTTGACCATGTGAATATTTGCCCACACTGGACTGAGTGGCCGATCTTGGAGTCTGGCCGCGAATATTGTGCTTCATTAGGCTCTATAGCTAATTTCGTGTATAGTCCAGTGAACCACAGCGAAGTGGGATGGTCGGAGCATGCTGGCTTCGAGGTCAGGTGAGAATCGATTCTCCCAGTCATGGGCATTCTGATGTGGCTGCTTGTGGACAGACAAATGAAAGATGCACGTATTTTATACCCATCCATTCCGAGCAAGCAGCACAATAACATGAGACTCCTCATGGCAATAGGATTCGCCACTGAGCAGACGTGATCACCTCCCTACACCTGCAGTGTCTTATTCTTCTGTTCAGGTTCGATCTCTCAGGCGGCTCCGTCAGGGTCATCCTACCCGAGACCTTTGAAGTGTACTGTGACACCCTCGAAGTCTCCTACCTGCCAGTATCCGATAACAGCATCGAAAAGTCGCCATCATCGGACATGGTCGTTGCAGTGGATATGGTTCCTTTTCTAGGTGCAGCACCATCCGTTCCAAGGGAAGTGGAAAGCTTATCGTACAGCTTCGGCTCATCGACGTTTTACCAGCTAGAGGTAAGCTCGGCTGCTGTTGTTGGTCAACATTTGCCATCATCAGATTACGGCCTTTCGTGGCTGATCAATACCCCAGAAGTGACCCCAGAGCCCAATAATTTGACGATCGCTATAGTGGATCAATACGGCCGTGTTCAGGATGCAGCCATGACCATTCCGAGTGATGACCACTTCTTGCCTTGGATAGTATCGCCGCCATGCTCAGGTTCCAAGGTCGAATATGGAACTCCGATTACGGCGTCTTATCGAGTTATATTCCAGCATGATACAGTATCGTCCAACGAGCCCGATGATGGGACACTTTCCACAACAACTCTCAGCACCGCCGCTTTAACGGAGGTGATCTTTAGCCACGAAAGTTGATCTATTGTCAACTCAGGGAATACTGGACTATCGCGTAACGTTGATGTTCAATGTCACCAAGGACTTCCCAACAGATGGCGGCATCGACAGAATTCGCATTGAGTGAGTCCATCAAGAGCCTGGTCTTTCTCTCACTGGTTCATCGCTATCAGATATCCGGCCGGTGTTGTCCATAACGAAGCTCAGCGGGAGCTCCCAGGGACTTGGTTTGATGTGCAGTTCAATAGCGAGCTGCGAGAAGTACGGTATCGACGGTGGCGGTCAATATAAGGAAAATTCTGTTCTCAGGCTATACAGGAGGTCGTGTTGGAAAGCAACAAGGCAGTGATTATGTTCTTCAAAGAAGATGCTCGGCGTCTTCAACCTGGCCAGTACTCCGTCACTGGTAAGTCGCCCGTCATAATGGATGAGACGGTGAGAGCTCGTGCTTTCAGTGCCGGTTACTCTGCCGGACTCCAAGTCAGACCCTCCAGGATTCAACTTCTACCATTTGACCTTCTGCAGATCCTCAGGCAACTGCAGTCCTGCGTACGAGTCCTCCTGTGTCCTAAGTCGGAAACATGAGATTTGTTGTGCCGTTAGGGTGACTTCTGGGGTCCTCATCACATTTCCGCTTCATGGCTTTAGCCTCAGTGACTCAGGTCTCGACGGTACTGATCACCAGCTGCTGCCGCACTAAGTGACCGTGGCGGTGTTTAGGTTCTGGGACTAGCGCTGCTGTAACTAGTGCAGACGCTCAGTCCTCAATAAGAATATTCATCCTAGTCATATGCATGATGACATTGATCATACTTTAGAACCATGATCATAGACTGCCAGTTGGTTGCTCACTTTAACAATGCTTTGCGTTGGATGTGTCGAAAAGAGGTGGGGCTGAGCTTGGGTAGAATAGAAATATTATCGATGATGAACGAGGTGCCAAGCACGATGAGCATGAGGCCTTACAGTCATCGCACACGAGTTGTCGAAGCTGCCGAGTTGAAATTGTAGTTTCCTCTCACTGCGCTTCCTCAACGCGGCTTGGCACGACCACTGGATTCCCATCCGATTTGCCTTCACCCGACTGAATGCCTTAGGACAAAGCTACAGGAGGATCGTGTGCATGCTATAGCCCGGATGGAGTTTCATCACGATATATAACCAAGTCAATCACTTTGCCAACCTCAGTGGCTCGGTCAGACATAGTCACGATAGGATTCTGATTTACGAGCAGACGTGGTGATACCCACCGCATGGAAAGAAGAATCCAGTTCGAAGATACATAGTGTTAAGCGTTCGACTACTCTCTCAATCCGTTCAGAGGTACCTTCTGATATTTAAGTGCGCGATTTTATGTGATAAGGGGCATCTTACCATAACTAGTTGAGTGTATCTTACATTAAATGCAATACATTTGGGTCCGTTGAGCACAGTTGCGGAAGCGCCTGACACCTTGCGAGGCACATTCTGTTGCAAGGAGTAGGCCAAGGTTGAGGCCTTGTGGAATAGACCGCTGCGGACAGCACATGATGCCTCACAGGTGCTAGTTCGTATTGACTATAATCACTTGTCCCCCTCACATCGCATAGGCATACGTACTCAACATACCTCAAGCAAGGATGGTATCGAAACAATTCGCATTAGTTGACCATAGAGAAACGGTCGGTCTGAAGGAACCAGTCATGGAGGCCTTTGGCCATTTGGTCTTGGTTGAGGCCTGTATGAAGGTTTGAATGGCCGCCTCCATTGATGAAGATAGTAGTGTAATTGACACCACCCACAGAGCTTCTCAGAGCACGAGCGTTCTTCGGGGACACTTGCCAGTCGGACAAACCTGAGACACAAGACAATCAGGGAATCATCCAGGAACTTATATCCAGGTTCCCAGGGTGAATTTTCCGCATAGCTAGGAACAGATTCTTCGAGCAGTTTGCCCCTTGTAATTCCGAATTCCGAGCATTTTCCTCATTGTTATCAAACCCTGGGGGACTTTATCTCGCAAAGCGACATGGGACGATACCATGGGAAGGCATTCCGTCATCAACACAAGCCTTACCATGAAAGTTGATTATGGGTACTTCAGGAGCCTCCTCGCGTAAAAGTTGCAGCTGTTTTCCTGTGTGGTAGTCGAATGAAGTGGGGTCCTCTATCACAGGTCTGATAGTAGCAAAAATGAATACCAAACTACGCAGTTGGCTCGCACTACTCCATGAGGGAAGCCAAGAGGTGAATTCGAGTGTTCAACGGTAGAAACCAAAGCGGTAGCGTCATGGGATGCTGAGCTGCCGTCTCAGGGAACTCTACAAAGGTCGACTCGAGAATACAACCAGATACCTGAACACGAGCCTGGTACTAGTGGCAGTGCCATAAAAGAGCCTACATTCCTCCCAGTTGCGATCATGTACCGTGCAGCATAGAGCGCCTGCGGACCTCCCAATGAGTGGCCGTGTATATATACAGGTAACTGAGCCACAGTGCATTGTCATTGTTATTGGCCATCACGTTGCCTCACTGTATCATTGTCGAACATCTTCCCGGTCCAATCCACGATCGATCGTATGTCCTCGAGAATACCACTAGTCCAGGGAGTTCCAGTCGAGTCACCGTACCTGTCCAACATGTGAGGTGATCAGAGACCCTTCAAGAGAAGGGGCCCACCCTCTCAAATCGCCGGCGACCACAGTAGCATTCAGCCTGTTAGCAAACATCTTGTATAGCTCTACGCGATGGCCCTGGGCTCGACTGCCCGCCTGGCCATGGAAGTATCTGCGTAGGAAATCAAATAATGGACGACAAACGAGTTCCTACATGACAACTCGCTCAGCAGGCTTGATGCCGCCATTCGCTGGTACCTGATTTAGTACACTGAGGTGAGGTACAGAGGGCATCCTACTAGCCAAACGCCCAAAGTCTCATTGCCACTCTGGACTCGATAGTTCCGAGCCCCTTGCAGACCCTCAGAGGTGGCAGGGTGGGTCATGGGCCATATACTGTTCGGTACGTGAGCAAAGTCGAGATGGACCAAGGATACTACGACTACACTGAAGTTATACCTGATACGAATGATGCTCAACTTCATAGAGATCGAACCGTTGTGGAGGCGATTGAGATTAGTTGACCTACAGGATCAGAGACACTACAGCTGCAAGGAGCGAAGTCCAGATGACGGAAGGGCGAGGAAGCATGGGTTGAATATGTAAAACTTAGGAACTACTACATACACGACAGTAGTTCTGATGATTTCATGGACATCTATGTAAGGAACAGGATTACGGACTGTAACTCCTCGTCCCCACTCGGGGGCTGTCAGGTGTCAACGAGTTCGAAGTGCGGTAGCTTACAAACTTTCCAACGATCAAGCCGACCTGCCTTCGATAGGAGGCTGTTGCAGTCGACAGGGCCGTACTCTAGAGATCTGACCATTCTGGGGCCATGGGCGAGAATCTGTGAACTCTGGCAAGTCTCGCTGCGACTGCCAGTCTCGACAGTTGAGGATAGTTCCAGCGAGGACTGGAACAGCTCTGGGTTGTCGTCTGCAACTTTAAACGGACTCATACAGTTCACCGAGAGTATTTTGTTAAGTTCAGGAAGCACGTTCGGCCAATAGTTGTGAATACTAAAGATCGACGGTGACTCAATCGCAGCAGACGGACGAGTTCGCGAATAGCAGTTGTAGTGATTAGACGTGCACTACATCCGAGTGCTTGATTCGAGCATCCAAAGGCGACCCAGGCAACAGGGAACACATTTATGCAGAGAAAACCAAATTTAGTATAGGACGTGTATTAATCAGGATAATCAAAAACTCATACCACCCCTGCTACACTTCCCGCATGGACTAAACCCAATACAAGGGGACAACGAAACACTAAGCATGACCTTGCATGGTAGTAGTCAAGATTCCCCTTCGAGCCTCGGTAAGTAGTTGATGCTGAGCACCTACTGTATGTGTTGATGAGAGGCGCCATGGAAGGTACCACTACGATAGATCCCCCTGCTAGTAAGAAGCTACAGCTAACCCACTGGTTACTACCAGTTGCCGCTACGAACCTATTCGATTACCTTCAAGTATAAGACAGTATCCATACAGGCCGGTTACCTCTCCCACCCCACTGGTGCTGCCGCTGCTTCTCTCGAATCAAAGGTAGCTATCATGACTATTAGACCGATGATGAGCAGTGATACCCCGCAAAGGAATATATACACGGACCGCCCGGCCTAGAGACATACACTCAATAAAAAACTCCTTCTCCTTTTGTTAGAGCCGTCGCTATAGTCGCTTGATCGGAGCGAGAAAATCTAAGGTTAGCGTCATTGTCGTTTAGTACTTGGAAGAATTGGAAGACATTGGTGATGACGGCCTCCCTTAAATCGAATAGCAGCTGGCCAACCCTCATAAGGAAGGTGATCACAAGAAAGTCTAGCAAGGGGAAGGGACAACTGCGTCTCCAGCAGTGCGGGCTGCTGACCAGAATGGGGAACACGGCTCAATAAGCTTTCTCCCTACACACCAAGTATGGCATGCCTGATGGTAGACGATTCACCGGTGTATTCCACTGAGCAGAAGATCCGACCAGGACACCTCTCAGCAGTCACATAATTTCGAAGGGGTTTTGTTGCAGACACTTTCTGAGATACCGATACGGTTGCAATTCAGAGATATGATTTTTCAAACTCCAAGAATGGTCATCAATATCCTCGATGGTCTAGAAAGCTCGGAAGTCCAACGACAGTCGCTAAGGCATCAGTCGCGTTTTCATCTGAGCTCAGCATCTGATCTCATCTTCCTCTTTCTGAGGTTGGTGATTGCAGGACATCAACACGATTCGAACTCCTTCAAGCGAGATGAATCGCAATGCCATGCAATACTCCTCGAATCAATACCATCAATCACTGAACACGACTCGAATCAAATGTACCAACACTGTTGGCTCAACAGGAGGCTACCGCCACTGAGCTGCGCAGCAGTGTAGACAGATTTCCCAGATCGGATGGCACTACCGTCCCATACGTAAGCTAGAGTAAATCTCTCTGTTTTTATATGTGCGCTGAGAAGCGTTGAGGAGCTTCAAGAGTTTATAGGATAGCAAGAATCAGATCTATTACCGTAGTCGAGGGACCTACTTCATAAGAAATGCTCCTTAAGGTTCACCTTGAACTTAAAAACTACCTTATGATGAGACCGTGAGGTACCTTACAATTTTCGCTCCTTACGAGGGTTTGTGAAATAGGCCTTAGATCAAGTTATCGCAGGTTACTAATTTATTATTGTAGTTGTGGACCCATCCGAATGACGAATTCACAGCAGCTAGGATCGGCTAACCCGAAGAGAGCCTTCAAAAAGGTAGGCCAGCGTTGACCCTTTCGTTCAGCGTTGCCATTTTCATGGACAGAAGAGTGACCCTGAGGAGGCGAAGAAGCGACGGGAAGAGGAAATGAAAAAACAACGGAAAGATGACAAGGAGGAGAAGATCGCTGCTGTACGCCAGAGTGTTGGTAAGTGGTAGTCGCCTACGATGAGCTCAGCAGTCTTTAGTGATACTAAATATATCTGCTCTCCTTATATGAATTGGGAGAATATACACGAAAATGTACAGAAATTAATAAGATTCCCTCAGAGTTTTGATATTGTCATCACCAACACATGTGGTTGGCCATGTGCAACTTTAACCACACTGACAGGCTTTCACTTTAGATACTCCTGCTGAGGTGAATGAAGGCCCTGACGAGGTAAGGTTTGGGAGGGGGCAGTAGCGTAGGTACTTGCATGGTTCAGGGTGTCGAGGCCCCATCGGGCAAGAAAGGGTTCTTCTCGGATAAGAAGTTCACAGATCTTCAAATCTGCGATCCTCTGAAGGAGGCCCTCACTACATGTAACTTCACTACGATGACCGACATCCAGGCTAAGGCGATACCTCTGATGCTGAAAGGGAAAGATGTACTCCAGAGGGTAGGGGGAGTGATGACGGAAGAGCGTCGCTTTAACAGGTATTGGGAGCAGCCAAGACGGGATCTGGGAAGACTCTGGCTTTCTTGGTACCGGCTTTGGAGCTCCTTGTTGCGACCCGTTTTCAGCCCAAGAATGGTAGTAGTATGGTCATGGTGGCTCCAGTGATTACTACATGCTTTGGTACAGGTACTGGCGTTATGGTCATCTCGCCCACTCGTGAGCTTGCTATGCAAATCTATGACGTGTGCAAGAGGGTAGTAGTAGTAGTAGACCGCACCTTGCATGAATCCTCCCATTCCAGCTCGTTGACTCTACCAAGCTCTCTCAAACGTACGGGATCGTTATGGGAGGTGTGAATAGAAAGAACGAGGCGGATAAGCTCTCCAGAGGAATCAATATTATTGGTAACGACCTGGTCTGCGAGAATGTCGGCTCGTGTAATATCACTTCATGCAGTTGCAACCCCCGGTCGGCTACTGGACCATCTGCAGAACACTAGAGGGTTCGTCTACGCCAACCTAATGAGCTTGGTCATTGATGAGGCGGATCGGATACTCCAAATTGGTAGTGTTGGGAGGACGTTCTCTGTTATTGAGAAGAATGGTTGCAGGTTTCGAGGAGGATATGAATCAGATATTAAAGATACTCCCTAAGAAAAGGCAAACGTCACTATTCTCGGCCACCCAGACGCAGAAGGTAAGGCGTCGTTAGCTTGGTGGTTCGTCGTGATGGCATCTACCTCAGGTCAACGACTTGGCTAGGTTGTCGTTGAAAAAGCCGATATTTGTACAGAGCAAGGGGGCTGATGATGTAGTCGAGGGAACAGCCTGGTGTCGTGAAAGTGGTGGTTGGCATTTCAGGATGCGGCGATCTCGACAGCTTCGGGGTTGGTCCAGGGGTACGTTGTAGTGGGAGGGGACGACCGGTTGAGACTATTGTTTACATTCCTTAAGAAGAACCAGAAGAAGAAGGTAGTACAGTTGCTATAGACTTGCCGTTTATGTAGGGTATCAGGTGATGGTGTTTTTCTCTTCGTGCAATTCGGTGAAGTTTCATGATGAGCTCCTCAATTACATTGACATTCCGGTCATATCGATCCATGGTCAGAAGAAGCAGTCGGCTCGGATGACCAACTTCTATCGATTCTGCCAAATGGAGTCGGGCATACTACTGTGTAGGTGCTATGGACCTACTCCTCGCTGCGAAGTGGCCATGGTGTGGTATGACGGGAGCTTATGAGCAGGTACGGATGTAGCTGCAAGAGGTTTGGATATTCCTAAGGTTGACTGGATTGTCCAGTACGATCCGCCGGATGATCCGAAGGTACTACTTATTCCTTGGACCCCACTTGGAGGCGTCTCTGCTTCAGGAATACATCCATCGTGTCGGCCGTACTGCTCGTGGTGCTGAGGGTACTGGCAAGGCCCTTCTTTTCCTCATGCCTGAGGAGCTCGGTTTCTTGAGGTAGTCTCGTTAGGGAAGCGGGTTAGATGGTGGAGTTGTGAGTTATGTAGATATCTTCGGAAATCGGGCGTGACGACTTTGAACGAGTACGTATTCCCCCCGGCTAAGGTGGCTAATATCCAGCATCAATTGGAGAAACTAGTGGAGACCAACTACCACCTCCATCGGGCCAGTCGAGACGCCTACCGATCGTATCTGCATGCTTATGCCGCCCATGCATCTAAGGATTGCTTTGACGTCCACTCGCTGGACTTGCAGAAGCTCGCCAAGTCCTTTGGATTCGCAGTGCCACCGAAGGTTGACCTCAATTTGAAGGACACTAAGAAAAGCGATAGGTGAGTCGGGACGGTGGTAACACTGAGAGGCTTAGTAGTCTCTTCTTTGTGATACTGTCGGCACTTGAGGCGTTTTAGGGGCGGACGGAAAATGGTGAAGTCGGGGAGGTTCAATAAGGGCCAGGGCGACTTCAGTGCCAGTAACCCCTATGGCAAGAAGTCCACTGGAGATAAACGTCAGTTCAGCATGTAGAGGAAGTATAGTAAGGATGAGAATACCAAAGCAGTTGTTAATACCGTTCCTTGAACAACTCACCACGTCAATACCATCTGTTAATAGTAAGGTTAGTATCGGTCGACTCGAGTATATCCTTTTGTCGGCGTATCTATACCACACTGTTTCCACATCACTGAGGGAAGTGTCTCGTTGGGGGGAGGCTGTTATGATGAAGGGGCCTATGAGCTTATACATGCTGACCAATTGGTAGCTATACTTGACTTGAGCATCAGCGGTAGGTGGTATTCTCACATTGTTGCAGCTAGTTCCATGTGGACTTCATCATGGATTGCCGACATCTCTGTAGGAGGCATCATATTCTTGATATTGTCTTTGGGGCTGTTGGCCGTAGGAAGAGGTTTGGTCAAGGAAGCGGTAATAATGATGGGTAGGAGCACGTTGGCGATGCCTGGGTGGAGAATCGCTATTGGATGCCTCTAGCTGGAGGTCTATGTCGAGTTGTTGTGCTTGTCAGGGAGCTCTGAAGGAAGCACGAAGACGACTACTGAATGCTCCGATAGTGAAGGGCGCTATCGCTAAGAACGTTTGAGGGGCTTGTCAGAGACGATAGGGAATGTAGCGGAAAACTGAATTGGGATTGAAGTGCAGAGGAGGAGAAGGCAGTGAATTGGCATTTTTGTAATTGTATATCCTCCCATCCTGCATGTGGCCTTTTGAGTTGGTAGTAACACAGTACATCAATGTAGCGATACTGTTTGGGCCTTGGGTTTGGACCTTTTCGCCCATCGGTCTCTCTGAGGGTCTACTATGGCTAAGACATCTCGAACTGATCAAACGTTCACAATATGACGGTTTGAGGTGAATCACTTCATCGGAGAGCAGTTGATGCCATCAACTTGATGGGAGAGGAAGGTTGTATTTCTTAGGTAGTTGGAGTTGTCCAGATACTTGAAAAAGGAAGATCATCGATGTGCCTTGGAGTTGATAGCGAATCCTCCCAGTATTTCCATCGCTTGCAACTATGCTACTCATGGAGATTACTGGGCTCGCTGTGTTAACTGCCGACTTCACTATTGTATTGTGTTGGTAATAGGGGCAGCTATGCCATGTGTGGGTGGTTATGCTTAATAGGGGCGCGTGAGGGTGGTTATGCAAAATAGGGGCAGCTATGCCACGAGAGGGTGGTTATGCTGAATAGGGATGGTTATGGCTTATGAGGATGATTACACAGAGTAGGGGCAGCTATGCCACGAGAGGGTGGTTATGTTGAATAGGGATGGTTATGCCTTATGAGGGTGATTACACAGAGTAGGGGCAGCTATGCCACGAGAGGGTGGTTATGCTGAATAGGGATGGTTATGGCTTATGAGGGTGATTACACAGAGTAGGGGCAGCTATGCCACGAGAGGGTGGTTATGCTGAATAGGGGTGGTTATGCCTTATGAGGGTGATTACACAGAGTAGGGGCAGCTATGCCACGAGAGGGTGGTTATGCTTAATAGGGGCGCGTGAGGGTGGTTATGCAAAATAGGGGCGGCTATGCCACGTGTGGATAATCAAGCAAAACAGGGTCGGCTATGCCACATGAGGGTGATTATGTAGATGCTACCCCACTGGGTGCGGATATGTATAGGGGGAATACGGGTATGGGCCTCGTCAGTCTTATAGTACTCCTTACAGAAATGCCGCCTCGCAAACGATCACGGATGAAGGCTAACATCACTTCAGAGCCGTCTGTACAGACTACGGCCCCGATTCATTCTAGCGGTACATCAAGACATATCCCGGGTTTGAGCGTAGCACAAGCACCGACACCACAGCAACACAGAGCTGTCAAAGAATTCGAGGAAGGGCTGCTCAGGACGCAAGGTGGATCTGCCTTGAAGTGAGACCTCAGGGCCCGGTGCTCGCTTGACTGCGTCATCAGGCGTTGTGTGAATGGGAACACTCTTGTGGTACTCAGTCGGTCCCAGCCAGCCTCGAGAAAGGCTTTGGATGAGGTGGTGGAACTTCGCCTGAGATCGTTGCCGAAGAACTGCTGCTTGGTTACAGTTGGTGTTGACACGAAGTAAGTGTCAGCTGCTTTGCGTAGGCCGGCTACCATGTCAAGGTATTCTTAGGAATCCACCACCTAGAAACACTCCGAGGTCTCCCTACATATTTCGTACATCCGAGCAAGTGGCTAGGCTGCTGAACCTGAAATGTGAGGTGAGAAGCCGCATGGGTTTTTCAAAATTTGGAGCTCAACTACCAGATGAAATTGTGGCTCGCTTCTCCGCATCCTGACATCGCTACAGCGGCAGTCGTCTTGACCTTCGGCCCTTCCCAGTTGGAGGCCCTACAACAGTTGCTGGCCTCTGACCCTATGCGGGTTGGGTTCGGCCTGAGACTTGCTATCACTCAGCGACACGAGATCGGGGCCTTGCGTCAGGTGGCGCTAGACGTCCATCTGAATGGCCACGCTTGTGTGTATCGCCTCAGATATACTCTACTCTCTTGCATTTTGGGATTTGCTGCGGTATGTTGTCGAATGGCAACTGGATCCACGCTGGCGGCAAATCAAATCGTCTAGCAATGGCTGAGGTCAGTGTCATATGCTGGGATGGCATTTGTGAAGTGTATGCAGGTGCTCTCACCCAAGAAGTCAGTTTCTGGTTCCTGCACAGTTGGCGCAACCATGCTCACCATAACTCAGTGTAATCTTGAACAAGGTGAGAGACAAACCCGTCGATACTGACGTGAGACTGCCAAGCTCAGGGATATTTGGGATGCGGATCTCCCCAGCGACTTTCCGAGTTGTGAAGCCCGATGTGTCTTCGATGAACCCGGTGGAGCTGTTGCACCCTCGATGCGTTCTACTGCCTCATATGAGTGAAGCCGTGATCGTTGGCTTGGGGCCAGCACCGAATCCGCCTCCAGGGCTCAAGTCGAAAGAGGATCTCATACGCTATTGGAGATACCTGCATGGATATGAGCTGCCTGAGGATGCAGTTGAGCGGACGATCCAGGTTCAATTCCCACGCGGTTCGCTAGTTTTAACCTACCCTCTGGGCTGTGCCTGGGCAACACCGTGGACATACCTACCAACTAAGACGGGCCAGTTTGCTGCGAAACTGAATCGAGAAGTTATCGAAGCCATCCGAGAGATCCTAGGTGACTGGTCGAAGGAGAGCGGCCTCGTAGTAGAACTGCATGAAGACCCCGGAGCCCAGCCAGAGAGTGACGTTAGCAAGGCTCTCCCGAAGAGAGCTTCGGAAATCCCCCGAGATGAGGGTCTCCTTGTCCAGGAGGCGGGAGTTTGGAAAGGCTTACCAGTTGATGAGCAGCTAGACTCAAGCTCGCCTGTGGAGGATAAGGGTCAGCCTATCCGTGGCAGACCTCAGAGGAAGAGGCGACGATAACCGCTTTTACCTAAGCGCTAAGGCAGATGCCATCTTAGCCTTATGGTAAAGATGACGAGCATTCTTGCCCATATGATGTTGCATGTGTCTCACTTCATGTGGGATGTGCTCCCTCTTTCTAGCCCATAGGGTGTTTGATCTTAATCAATGTTGATGAACCTTGCGTACAGTAGTGCCTATGTAGTCAGTTCGTTGCTATGATGGCTAGACAATGCGCCTTATAGATCCGAATATAAGTCATTCCATCGCTATGCCTCCTCCCATCCGAGCCTTACTAGCCATGACAAGCGTCTTAGCTACTATACCACCTCCCGAACGAGAGTCGTTTCTACCTGAAAGTCGCCGCACTCTATTGTGGCCAACCTTACTTGAAACTCTCAACCTGACCGAGGTCCTAGGACCTACATTTCCCGACACAATAGCGACCGCATCAGAAGAAACCTACGAGAAGTTTTTGCAGCACCGTCGCACACGATTGGAGAAAAAGGGGACAGTTGAGAATGGCTCGAGTACGTTCGAGACCTTTTCATCGGGATGAAGTCTCCCTCATGCTCGGCGTTATCGGTTTCAGTGAACTCTGGGATAGTCAACGATGATTTCTACCATTGGCAAATGGCTCTGCCGGTTGACGAACGACCCTTAGAGAAAACGGCAGAGTAGTTCTCGAAAGCTGAGCACCACCAACGTAAAAAAGCAGGTTCCATCAGCTGATGACGATCATACACCGTCTGGCTAGACGTTACCTTGAACACGCAGGAGGAGACCCTTCGATGATCGCAAGAAAGAAGTGTGGTTGGCACTGATTCAACAATTTTGTCAATCACTCTGTTGAGACGTCGGTGTTTGCACTGATGGCGTTGGTGATTACAGGTTTAGTCTGAGCTATTGGACGGCAGTCCATTTCGCCAGCGAGTACCATAGCCCGCACACTCATACTGGACAAGAATGTGTCGCCGTTTTCTATGCAAGAGTAGCAGAAGGATCGAGCAACGGAAAGCTCGTACTCATAGACCCTCGGGGGCAGGTCCCGCCATTTGGACGGACAGTGAGTTTATTGCCTGACCTGAAATCAACATACCCGTATAAAGATGTCTACTGACTACTAGTATCGGACATCGGAATTTCCGGAAGCATACTCGGCCGTCCATTGGTCTACTGCGTGCCATAGTTCGTCTGGGCTGCTCCTCCTCATGGATCGTTCAGTGAGTATTATAGTCGCAGGTTTCGATAGACGTTTATCCCGGGCAACTGGTCATGTTCCCGAGTTGGTTGAACCATATGGTGTCACCAACAACTGCCTCCTCCACCGACACGAGTAGGCGCTTCACGGTTGCCACTGGTACCCTGGCCTATCATCACACTAGCTGTAGGTATACAGCAGCGTAGGATCATGATTGCCTTCAACATCCAGGATGCACAGTTCACTGGTGACATACCTAGTACCTTATGGCATCGAGATATACCCTCAACTCTGCGAGTCCCCTGGGTGACGGACGATAAGCCAATGGAACACTGTGAGGTCAACTGGTGGTCTCCTTCTGACATCGTCGAAGGCACTTCAGGCAAACGAGATAGAGATGAGCTCTGACAGCAAAGCCCACAACGTACTGTGATGACCTTAATGATGCATGTATGACCTTGTTGAGAGTGATTAGTCGCAGAGTCGAGTTGACAAGTTTAGACCATATACTCCTCACGTGGTTTGCCTCGGTGCGTGTAATCGCCAAGCAATGGAAGAGGACGATCCAGAGAGATGATTGAGATCGTGACGATGTGATCGTCACGAACCGAATTCGCATCGAACGACCCTCAAATGGCCGAATACACCCAACCTATTCTTGCACAAACCATAGTCAATGTAGGGTGAGGAAGAAGGCCGGTAAATAACTGTACATTGGAGCTCAATCCACATCTCATCACTGCTCTACAGACAGTTTGTTGATGACACCCTCAGCACTGTTCTGCGCCACACTCTACTCCGTGCTGGCACTCGAGGGGTTCCGTTACTTCCGATGTGACTCTTGCCGGGCGAGTCTACATCAGATTGACAAGGCACTCGTGAGCATCTCGATCAAGCGGGCAGGTCCACTTGCTGAACATGAGTAAACTCATACTGTATCCACGATTGGCTCTATGGGAGGATGTCCAGATACGTTGACTTGATGGAGGGTGTATGCCGAAGTAAGATGACGAAGACCGACTATGGCGTGAAAACGTTCGAGGGTCGGTCGTATCTTTTTGGCCCGGGGGTAAAGGACCACATCAACGGTGAAGGGTTCGGGCAGATGGGCATGGTATGACGACGCTCCCCCGGCAGTCTGTAGTTCGATCGTTGGCCACCTCGAGGCGTGTAGAATGAGGCTTGACAGAACGGTGCCATCTCAGGGCGATTACGACATGCGCTTGCGCAGCTACTGCACTATGTTCGTCGAGCAATTCGAGGAGACGACATTGTATAAGGAGTTCCGCGATAACGGCAAAGTGGGTTGGGAGGAGTGCCTGCTTTGTATTCACTCCCAACAAGTTTAGCCTGCATGAAGGATGGATGAACTCAGATCCTGGTCGATAGGCACTGTGAAGTAGAGTGCCAATCCGACTCGAGTGGTACCGGTCCCACACACCGCAACACAGTCGCAGTCGAGCAAGTAATTGAAAAAGAATCGGATGAGTCCCAAGAATACTCACAACTCGTCGAAGCAGCTCGTCGTTTATCTACTGCTGATAAGATTAGACTGCAGGAGGAGCCACGACGTATACTAGAAGACCTGGATGACCGTCTTGAGCTGTAGATTGTTTCAAGTTGAAACTTTCAACTGCTTTATCATATCTCTGTTGATTCGTGGTGCTCCCCCCAGTGTCGACCTTTGTCTCTACTCTCATGCCATGCACGCTGATCATTTCGTCCAAGCCTAGGCCACTCGATGCGTGGCTTGTCCGAGCCTCATCAGAGTCTGAACCGCATAGTGCCGACCAGCTGTGCCTTCCTTGTGAAGGTGTACGGCACAGCGGATGGCGCTCCTCGAGAACTGTACAATATCCTGTAGAGCTGGTAAGACGAGGCCTAGTGAGAACACCCTTTTTGACCGTGCGAAGTTCGCACTGCGAACTGAGAGGCCTCTCACGCATCAACTCCTTTTACAGGAGTTTCGCCTACGACAACTCAGTGAATTGCGCGAGGTGGTCGTGAATTGGCTTCCAGAAGGACACGGGTTGCTCCCCGATCGCATTGAGGTGTGGGCTCGCATGGAAGTCACCAACTCAACCTCTGATGACTGGGTAGGGCGCTCGTGCTCCTGAAGCATTGGTTCACCGACGGGTGTTCCGACTATGTCTATGACTCTCGCTGTCGTCATGGACACTTCATAATTAGCGGCAATACGATTTACGATATCCCAAGCTTTCCTTTTGGTTCGTTGCGTACGCAAGACAAGACGTTGTTCGCGGTTCAGGGACGGTTCGCGGCCACGGCCGTGTCCTCTGGTGCAAACGGTCTCTATCTTGACGGTGTTGCTACCACGAAGAGTATTCGCGTACTTTTATGGAAAAACAACGGAGGGCCTATAGGCATTCAGAGTGGGACTGGGCGAACTGTTACAGTTACGCGCTACAGTAGCGCGACATGCTGCAGTTTACAATGCCAGATTTTGTAGGCATTAGTTTCTTTGGCTTCCCGCTGCCCACACGAAGGGTTCCCCATCACGCTGTGGAGAGCCGAAAAGATGCAGTGAAACCGGTAAGGTACCTGTCAGCTGAGGCCTGAACATTTGACCATGTCACTGCATGGGTCCGCAGCCGAAGATATTTTGATGAACGAAACCTCCTCTATATTGTGAAAATTCGATGGTCGACTGGTGGTGATGAACTGAAGTGGCTAGACGAGTGATGTCTACAGAAAAACTTTCAGGGGACTAGGAGATCGGAATTGACATTGGATGACCCAGTGCCCTCCCCAGGCGAAAAGGAATGTGTCAGTTTAGACCGAGTCGCTAGTGAGGTGATCACTGATATGGTAGAAGTCCGCCGAACACTTGAGAAGTACACATCTGGGATCACCCGCTTGTTGGTATGCTCATCATCTTCAGCTTGCCCAAACTGCGAGAATTCAAAACTGCTTCACGGCATGAAGATCGCATTTTGAAGGGCGAAATTTCTGTGACCGAGAGCCAAAACGAATCGATCGTATGTTCAGTTGCGTGTTGTCCATGACAGTCATGGAGCCGTGCTTACCCACAGGCCGTCGATGATCCCGGGCTAGAAGAATCACAGAGACGGTGCGCGATTCTGGAATCGGAAGTGGCTGTATTGAAACAACAACGTGATTACGTGAGAGTCTAGCCGGAGTTGGAGTTGTCAGACGAAATTCTATCAGGCCTTACTGGCCCTCCAGCGTATAAGGAGATCGGGGGGCGACGGTGAAACTTCTAAGGGTGCATTCGAACCCGACAGTGAGAATGATGAGCAATCAGTGGGGATGGGTGAACGCGAAAGGGCCGCAACAAATGAAGCTAAGCATTGTATGGTGATCTTGGTGTCCCAGCCAACAGCGTCGTTCATGTAGATAGGCCTAGTACTGCTGAAAACGATGGAGAAAGGTATGGGAAAGTTCATGCCGTGACAGAGAAGGGCGACCGTGATGGGTGAGTATCAGACTCGTGAAGAGCTGACTGCGTGGCTGGGCATGTCTGTTCAAGCCGAGAGGACTATCAGTCGCCTGATGAGAACGAAACGGAGGGTGTTGTGAGGATTCTCCCACATGGCAACGAACACGAGGAAACAACGGCGGAGTTGGTCGACCGTTATCATGACTATGTGAAGGTGGGATTCAGATATGCCAACCTCCAGTTACCGCTGGATGCTATGGTGACTACTCACTTTGGCCTTGTCAGGCAATGTCCAGGGAGGACCGTTGGCTGGCTGAAAGGGTTATTGGAGTGCTGGGACGCTGATGCTTCGAATGAGGTCGCGTCTTATCTGCGGCAGATCGTCTTGCCCGAGATACAATCGCTGGGTGAGCTTTATTCGTGTCCCTCGGCCAAGTGTCTCAATGAATTTGTGTCCGTCTCATGTCCCTATAGTAAGCAACCAGAAATCACCTCTCGCGGGAACACAGGATGAGTACTGCATAGTAGAAGGCAGTATCGGTGAACTAGCCGCGCGTATCTTCTTTCGCGAGCCGAAGAAGAGTCGCCGAGATCGCGGCTCGTGGCAAGTGGGTCATCGCTTGCAGTTCCCTGGTCTACATTCGGATCAGGTTCAAATTTGGACGCTTCGGAATTACGAGAGATCCATTGAGGAGTTTCTGCGCGTGATGGAGTGTTCGTCATCAGAGGCAGTTCTTCGTTATTGGCGTGGGCTTTCCCATGTTTGTAAGAGCTTCATCGGGCAGAATAATGTACCACAGGTACACATCGTTTGGAGAAGTGACTCCCCAATAGGTACCACTGACAATATCAGCAATAGATACTCTGGATGCCTTCCTAAGATCGAACGTGATAGGGGACATGGTAGGCATTCGAGTAGTAATGACCGAGCAATCATCAGAGGCCACTGATAATCATCTATAAGGAGGATTCAACCATAGAAAGAATTCCTATTTTGAGCATGTTGTCATTGTTGCCTTTCCGAACACCACCTGCTCCTGTCCGGATTTCAGGAGCTGGACTATAGCATCACAAATGCTGAAACCGGACTCATCTACGCACTAGTTAGAAGACTGGGGGATCATAATAATCGAGTTGCGGAGAAGGCGCGTGGCCTAACAGTAAGGGAGTGTGTGTGTTGGTAGTCCCCATGGTCGTACTGATGCAGTTGAGGATAGTGAGCCTCTGTGGCGCCGAGACGGTCTTGCCGTATTTGAGCTCCCTGGATGTGGACAGGACGCTAATGCACTCCCATGAGGCTACCGAAGAAAGCATTGTATCCCTACGTGGGTTGTCACAAAACTTCATCAACGCTCGTGTGAAGGTGGGATTGGATATCGTAAGCCGCACCAGTTCCTGCCCTCGAGAGCCTCACTCGAGCATTTTCTAGGTGGACGTGTGTCGAACCGACAGGACTCACAACTTAGATCATATCATACCCTTGGTCGTCGCGGGTCTGTGCCACCATTCTGGCGAAGTGAGAAGAAATGCAATCGATTTGGCAGCAAGCATCTATGAGTAAGGAGAGGATGATTCCTCAGGTGTGTTCAATATTGAGTCAGGACATTCGGAGATGAATTTCTGAAGAATTACGAGAAGGTCTGGCAAAGGAAAGTAGCCGCCTCGATCCTCGTCCGCTGTTGTGGTATGATAACAGGTACCCCCTAATGTCAACGATGTCCTCACCACGCGACTAGCTAGCATGTACGATCAACTACAGAGCTATACTGTCGAGAGTGAATGATCCATAGTGCCACGAGTAGGACATGTCTCGCTTGGATTCTGTTGTGTGTATAGTACTCAGCAATCTTGATTGGGACTTAACAACTGTTTAGATCACTCGAGAGGAGCAAATCTCTTGTACCCTTCCTTGGGAGCGGACATAGTTAACTCGAGTAGATCTTGCGCTGAGGAAACGCAAGATTGCAAGTGATCAAGATTTATTAGTCGCGCGCGCCCGTAATCTCGAGCCCCATTTCTGAGGGGACACTTCACCGAGTGTCACCGGATTTCACCGATGTCACCTAATAAAAAATAGTGCAAGTGCATGTAAACAGTAGGGAACGGCGCCGCGCGAAGCGC